CCGACCCCACCCCCCCCGGAACCTCAATTTCCCATCCAAGCCAGCCTAGCGGGGACCAATAGGCGGGCAGCATCTCGGCCACACCCACAACCCGCGCTTTAGCAAGATATGGTTGAAAAAGATGTTTCTCAAACTTGTTCAAAAGATACATTTGAATGTAAATTGTTTTCTGAATTTCTGTGTCTTTGAATAGTTGGAGCAAAGTAACTACCGAGCCGAGTTAAACCATTTCGGCACTGGGCTTCTGGTGCTTACGTCGGCCGCGCGGCGTACAAAACAGTATCTTAGGCCAAGTCTTTGTCTGTGAAAATGTAAGAAAAGAGGCCTTGCAGTCCTGTCCTGCCGATAACCTTGTTGTCCCGATTAAACTTTGTTACCCAGGCGGTATGATCTCGAAAATATGAGTGGCAGCATCTCGATACCCTTTTTAAAGACAAGGTTTGATTTGCCGATTCCGAGTTTCCAGTGCTGAAGCCGCCGACACACCAAGTGTTGACGTAACTTCGGCACTGGAGATCTAGGACGGAAGCCGCCTTACCTCTGTATACCGAGTGCTGAGAAAGGAACCCGTTACTTCGGTACTTGCATTATTTTCACCCCAAATACACCAATTTTTACATTGTTTATCTGACATTTCCAACTCCGATTACTAGTACCTGCCGCGCCGTAAGGAAGGATGCTGTTCAACCCCATTGTCGAATGGAATCGACCGCAAAGTGGGCGTGGCGCGGAATGCTGGTCACCCATTGGTCGCCGCTAGGCTATGTGGATGCGAAATTGATGTAGGCAACCCCCCCTGGCTAAGGGCATGGAATACAATAAAAAAAGTCTATCATTACTGATAAAGAATAAGATTCATAAGGTTTTAATTGGATATATAAGACGTCCATTAGATATATAAGATTATAAACCATGGCTGACAGATCCCTTGCCCTTTGTTTTGTTGATACCTACCCACATTTGGGGCATCATCACTAGAAAACTTTAAACAACTCCTGCAATCAAATGTGCAAAGATTGAGTATAACAAGCCGTTCGGTGTGATATAGCTAGCTGCCGCCACGCCGCGTGCCTGCGAAGCTGGTGTGTTACGCCGAAGGGCGGTTATACCGGCTATACAGATCCCAAAGATCATTCAAATCCAGCCACTCCGTATTGAGTTATGGCAAAGACGGTTCTCTGTGGAACCATGCATATTTAGAATATTGTTTTCATGGTGGTCGCAATGCTAGAAAAAAGTGACTCCAGCTCTGAAGCGTTGCCAAAAGTCGTGGAGCGGAGTGTTTTTGACACCAACAAAGTACAATGTGCAAGTATTATGTACATTGTGTAAACTGGTATGTAAATGTAAGGGTTTGAAAATGACACTTTTTATGCATATTGTAAGAGGCCATCGTCTTTGAAGTTTTTGTGGCCAGCATGTTAATCTGGTTATGCTAATTCGAGGCTTTGATGATAGGAACATCAAGGACCTGTCGTATGGGTGCGAAATGTTGTGTTGTTCCCTTGCTAGACGACTGTCTGTATTTCAATCTGTGTCCAGTCTGTGGTTTGACAATAAAAGCTGGGAGTTCTGTGGGTTGGGGAGACAGTCTGAGACAGGGACAGCTTGAGGGAAGGTTACAGAGAGAGACTGTCCCAGCCCATCGTCTCCTGTGCGTGCGTAACGGCAATGCCTGTGTCCTGCGTGTGTTCTTGCTAGCCCTGTAGTTAGTCTCCCGTGCAGCATCCTAAAAGAACCTGGTGAATTGAATTCCACCTCGGTTACATAAACAAATAGAACCATCGATCGAACTATGCTTGCCCAAATGCATACTTGTAACAAGAGTTCCACGAAATCATACCTTCGTCAAATAATATTAATCTGCATGACTGACGAACTATAGATTATTCCCCCTGGTTATGCAAATAGGACCCTCATTTGCATGAATCATATCAGTTGATCATATTTTTCAACAAAGGAGTCTTATCATAACAAGGAATTGTATTCTAGCATTTTCCAATAAATTATGCAAATTAGTCCTTATTTCCACGGTGGTCAAATTCTAGGGTGAAGTTTACAATTTGGGGAGGGGTATCAGTTATCCAGTTTCTTGAGTAACTGCTTTTTTGCGTATCGTATTACCTCGATGTCTAACCTTCATCGACGTATCAGGTTACGCTTCGGTACTGTTGTGTCCCAAACTGTGCCCGTCCCATTCCGTGCCTGAGCGGGCACAGAACGGGACACAGCCTGACTGTCCAGAACCGTGCCCGGAAGCGCTGTCAATCATAGTGATTGGCGGGGACCTAAACATAATTATTCAAGCCCACGATTTCTTATATGGCTAGATTACGTGAGATTTTGCGAGTCTGTGTACAACATGTGCTTTCAAAACGCAGTTTTCTCACAACTTAGTCTTATGTTTGGTCGACATGGACTTAGATAATAATATAAAGAGACTAGTTAATACAAGAAAGAAACTCGTTTGGAACACATGTCATGAGAACTATGTTCAGTCCCGTAAAGCCGCAAGCTTAAATTATACGTGTCCAGAACTGTGTGCGGTCAGGCACGGTTCTGGATAGTCCCCCGCGTGTCCCAGAATGTAGATTTTCCCCAAGCACGGTTTGGGACACGCGCCGAGTGTCCCAAACCATGCCCAAGCACGGTTTGAGACAAGGCACCCGCGTGTCCCGAACTGTGCTCAGTCCCCAGGCACGGTTCGGGACACGCATTCAGTGTCCCAGACCGTGCCCGGGCATGGTTTGGGACAAGGCCATCGCGTGTCCAGAACTGTGCTCGACCTGAAGCACGGTTCTGAACGAACACTTCGTTTATCTACAAGTTAATTTGCTCTACTCTGTCGTGGATACGCGTCAGGACTATCCAGATCCGTGCGTAGGGTTGGTGGATAAGCAAGTGTTGTTTCCGATTCCAGGACTGAGCTTGGGTCAGTCTGCTTTCTTGGGTATACTACGTGCTGTGTTGTATCAAGAACTGTGTTCTCACTGTGTTGCAGAATGATACAAGACACTCTTTTTGGACACTACATGTAAGTCGTAGACCAGCGTGAAATGTAAAAATGTATACTTTACAGAGCAGGAATTACACCGATTCTTTCTTATTCTTGCCCCGACGAAAAACAAAGATGGCGGCCTAAAACAGTAAACAACACCACGGGAAGGCTCCTCCCTCAAAACACTAAGCTCCGCCCCCAAAGCACGGAATGGGACAAGGCCCTTGTGTGTCCAGAACTGTGCCCGATCAGGCACGGTTCGGGACAGTCCCCTCGTGTCCCGAACTGTGCTCAGTCCCAAGGCACAGTTTGGGACACGCGCCGTGTGTCCCAAACCATGCCCAGGCATGGTTTGGGACAAGGCACGGTTCGGGACACAACAGTATCAACATTTTGCAATTGCGCCGGTGCCCATCGGGGGTGTAGCCCCGGCCGGGCTCTGGGTAGCCTGATTAAATCGCTTTACGGTTGCCGGCCGCCCAACATTCTGCGGGGGTATCGCAGTAACTAGATATATGTACAAACTTGATGATCCCAATAGGATCCTTGCCCCATGCCCACGGTCAGGCTCCAGAGCCCGACCGAGACAGACCGGGACTACATCCCCGACGGGCACCGGCGCAATTGGGACCGACCGAAGCTTAAGCTAGGCTGGATTATAAATTTCATAAAGATAAGAGTAAGGCAGTAAGCTAAAATGTCATCATGATAATTAGATCATACATAGCGAATGCACTTTGTATTAGGTACTTACTGAGGGCTGTACTGGTACACCTACATATGATAAAAGTGGTAACACTAAACAGGATCGGGTATATTTTCAACATCTTGACATGCACCTAATCAAGCCAAATCTGGCCCTCCCCATTCACCAAACAGTTAGCAGTTAGTGTAAACATCCGCAACTGAAGAGGAGGGACTGTTGACATAATGGATTTATATTAACTGCCCATGCCCGTAGCCAGGATTTTGAATGGGGGGGGGTTCTTCCAACTGCTTGAGGGGACCTCGAGCGCCGTAGGCGCGAGGCGAGTGCCGAAGGCGCGAGGTTCCTAGGGGGGTCCGGGGGCATGCTCCCCCGGAAATTTTGAAAAATGAACCTTCTAAAATGGCATTTCGTGCGTTTTTAAGAGATAAATTTTTATTCAATGACAAAGGGAGCAGTTTTCTACGATTCCAGTCCATCTTTTCAAGAAAAATCTTGGACCTTTACATAAAAAGTGGACCAAAAAGTGGACCTTTACATAAAAAGTGGACCAAAAAGTGGACCTTTACATAAAAAGTGGACCAAAAAGTGGACCTTTGAGCCTTGTGGGGGGGTTCTTCCGAACCCCCGAACCCCCCTGGCTACGGGCATGCTGCCATAAGAACGTATACTACATTACATTTAGGCAAAGTATAGTTTCCTTTTTGTTAATTTTGTTCAGGCAATCTATAGTACGATTCGCTAGCTACTCCCATCTTTTGCATTTTTAGGAAGATCGGATAAAAGATTTAAGATTTTTTTTCTTTAAAAGTGCCAAATGCGAGATAAAGAGGACAAGAGGTAAACAACAGCATGAAAGTTCATCTGAGTTGGTAAATTACATGATGAAAGAAACTTGAAGTAATCCTGTTCGGTATCCAAGATTCTAACCCCCTCCAGATGCAGGGGGATTAGAATCTTGGATACCGAACAGGATTACTTCAAGAGAAGCATAAAAGAGGCCATATACATCAGGGCACTTCAACCGTCGCTCAACCGGGACGGGGGGCGATATCGACTTCAGACAACCTTTGACCCTTTGCTGACGTCACACGTGGGAAAAATCACGTGTCCACAGCATTTGTGTCAGATGGCTGAGGAAGACTGAGAGGAACAGTCTAAAATTCCGGTCAGTGAAATTTATGAGTTGGAGAACAGTTTAAATTTTTCCTAAGAGGTAAACAAAACCTTCACCTGATGTTAGCCTTTTCGAACGTCTCGGTTCCGGCTGGAAGGTACTCATCTTTTTTCGTCCAGGATTTCGGGATGAGGATCTTGACCACCGCGCAGAACGCGCGGTTGTTGGTGGCAACGTACAAGGCTTGGGACGCCTCGGTCAAAATTTCCTGGCGAAGAAAAAGTGTGGTTTTGGCTACTATGATGTGTATAAGTACTATTATACATTCGACAAGACTGTGTCAAGGCTAGAACCGAACGCTGTAAGAACAGTAGTGTCCGATATATGATATCCCTCCTAAATAATCATGTATGAGCACATGAATTGTTGTTTGCATGTAAGGTCTGTTACGTGAACGATAAAGAAATGTTGTCCTACCTGTAGCAATTTTATAAAGTCAATCAGTGTTTTCGATCTTAATGTGTAACCAAGTTTTAATGTCAGTAATTGTAAATAACTTTGATGATTTGCAAACCAGAAGTGCAAACCATTGACCAACAAAAACAAGGTCAACATCACTATTCCATCAGTCTAGTGGTCCGGGCTTGAAACTGGACCCCAGATTTCAATTATAACATGAAAATGACGTTGGTGGCCTTTCATGGAGTACTGTCTTAATGCATCTTTCGCAACATAGTCACCAGGTATGTTCTGACACATTTGGAGCTTTAACTTGTGAAATGGCACCGTTTTTATTCATGTTTTGTAAACAATTCCACTCAATCCATTAAGCGATTTATGTTTCAACCTAAATGACTTCTGAGACATATATGAAAATATCCAAATTTTCGGCCCAAATATTACAGAGGTTCCATAGGTAAGTTTATATGGATTGTAATGGTTTATATTGATTAAAAAACATTGGAGCACAAGGCTGAATATTAGATGAACATAAAGTCCTCGTCCGCTTACGTCACATCTAAACACAAATTACAAATGACCCAAGTATAAAAGTCCTATCCTGGTTCTAGGGCTATACATGTTGGCATTTTCTCATTACCAGTAATTCTTCACATAATAGTTCTCTAATTATGCCAATACAAACCTAGGCAATTTACCCCCCCCCCACCCTTCTAAAACATAATACATCGTCCTTTCTTGAGTTATTCTCTTCCAAAATATTCAACAAAAATACTCTTGTAGTGCCCTCTGCCACAGACTTTCATTTTCAGAACATAACGAAATCAAAACCAGTCCTGCTAAAATTCCATTGAAGGCCGCCGGGGACCCAAAATTTTGCTCTTTCTTTCGTTGACTTCCTAGCTATCTACATTCCAAGTAACAGATTCAGTCACGTCTTTTTGAATTATCGAGGTATAAAAAATAAAAAAGATTTATTGATTCTCTGAGGGAATCATTCGTGCTCAATTGCAGTACTATACTATCGCCTACCCATGACGCGTGGTAAAATGTTGCATCAGCCTATAGATACTTTGTACATTGTACCTAACCTTTCATATAATTGAGGGGGTCAAACTAATAAGTTAATGTGGGCGAAAGTGCAAGGGCTGGAAAACAATGTGTGTTTATTCAATAGACGACTATGGACAACTTCATTGTTTTAATTTTTGTAACTAAGTATCTTTATGTTGTGGCTTGGCCATGTTAACAATGGACTTTTTCTTAAGATGTATCATGTTTACACAACTTTTGACTGAGGCATTGTTTTAAACGTTGTGTGGCGTAGTGGTAGATCATTCGACTGTGTACCGGGAGAACCAGGTCAATCCCGAGTCGTACCCGGGACATGTCTGGACATGCGCCCGACGTAGGGTCCTTGGGATAGGCACGTGCACTTAACACGACTTTCCTCACTCCACCCAGGTGTAAATGGGTACCTAACTTTGGTTGGGGAAAGTCGTATTGAGGTCACCTTGTGGCGCCGAATGGCAGCCGCACAGACCCTTGCGGCAATTTCACAAAAATGTGGAACAAATATGTATCATGTTTTTATGTGTATTATTATGTGTATTATTACCATTTGTATCATCTGATTGTAAACCCTGCATCAATTCAGCACTATAAGGCTGCGATTGCACGGGTGATGTTTGACCAATAAACATTTATTATTATATTTATTTGCGCCATACATTTGTAATGCCATACGGTCACTTCCCTCAAACGGTACTAGTCTCATTCACAAGTAGGCTACCCTAGTATTCTGGAATATAGAATACTACAGGGAAATGTACCTGCCATCAAACAAATAAACTTACCTGCAGCCTATCCACGATCCGCGTATCTTCAGGGATGTTTTCGCTAATGGCGACCAGCAGGTTGTACCCGTTGTCCTGTAGTTTGATTTCGTACGGCCGGTTGAAGACGGCTTCAGCAGCATGCCAGCCAAATGCGGACAGCAACGCTATCCAACATATGGTGGACATTTTCGCCGGCCAATGACAGGAAAGTAGTGCGTGTTACCAGACTAAAGGCAGGTCCGAAAAGCAGAAGTGAAACTACGTCACACCGTAGGCACACACACCTTTGGCCTTAGCGATCCATTTTGATTGGTTCTTCGGAAACATCTAACCGGAGGAGCGCACATGGACAACAATAACACATCAATAATGTCAAAGTTCATAATTTTCTGCAATGTTTCTAGCCATTACTTCTACAGCTCCATTGCTCCAGTCCATTCTACCCACAAGTATTCGACTAGATTTGCCAATTCTTGCAGTTTCAAACTACCTAAACCAAAAACAAACAGCAAAAAGCGAACATTTCTCTACCGCGCCATTAATCTATGGAACACCCTGCCACCCAGTATCAAAACACTGACCAGTCTGCATCAATTAAAAAAGGCCATCCACCAGCTGTACATAAGTTAAGTTGTATTTTAAGTTAAGTCATGATGGTTTTGTTTAACCTGTATATAATTTGTGATGATTATGTATGTTCATTTCTCTTTTATTTTGTTGTCAGTATGTTCATATGTATATATGTTTTGAACCCTGGAAAACTAATCGCCATGGACCAAAGGGTATCGAAATAAACGAATGACCCTGGCCGATCCCTCACAGCGATTCTTGACTGGAGAGTATTTTGCAGACTACGTGAACAAGATCTGACTGGGTCACTTCTCTACTCGATGTGTTGACTAAACTCTTCAAATATACTCTTTAAATACGAAGGGATAGCCCAAACCAACCATACTTCAACCGTGCTTAGTTATATAATTACAATCAGCTACTTTATTTGTCCACGGCCACACAGGCAAAATAAAACCTTTTAATGTTTTATTATTGAAACATATATTAAAATTTTATGAAGATGATGAAAAGAAGAACTTACTGATATGTTAGTTACAATTAACATCGTTAAACAATTTGGAAAAACAATGAAACCTTACATTACATGTACAAAATCACAGACCAAGATTGAAGCAATTGATGTACTTACTGATATTGTCATCAAGACCGCTACATTCTTGGGACCACTACACCACGTACGTAATGTACCATGCAGTCATAACCACATAGCACATATGTCAACGACAACAGAATGCATATATCATTGGATGGCCAAACATAAAAGATATATTTAACTTGGTCTTTTTTTGTTTTATCAGCAGTACTTAATAATAACAGTTTTATCATTGTGAGTGGCCTAGCCATAGCCAACTTTGCCCTTTGTCCACCTAAAAAAGCCTGAGGATCAGAAACAGGCGTGTCAAATTCAAAGGTCAGCTTAGTGGTCAAACTCAGTGGTACCACTTTGAGGTCCAGTTAGTCCAGCTAAGGAGGTTCAAAAAATGTTGAAGCCATTGCACTTGTTTTATGCTGCAAGTCTGGTTGGTTTGTCCGCCATTTCAGGCTTGTTGTTGTTGTTGTACCACTGTGCGCCTGTCCTGTACTACCTGTGTACGGGGATACTGCTGGGTTCAGTCGGGTACTATCTGCTTCTGTACTTGGCGCCGAAGAGCCGTGTGAACGGGAACGGCAAAGCTGTCTTCATTACAGGTAGGGCTTTGGACACCTGCAGTCATGAGCATGTTGACTTTTAGTCTTGGTAGTCTACCAAAACTCTTTGAAAGTGTGTCTTGTAAGGTATAGACAGATGATTGACCTGTTTGAATGTTTGACTTCATAACAACAGGCTGTGACAGTGGGTTTGGATTTGGGCTTGCCAAACGCCTGGACTCGCTGGGGTTCACGGTGTTTGCCGGCTGTCTGCTGGCAGACAGTGGTGGGGAGGGGGCGAAGAAACTCCGGGCGGAATGCTCGAGCAGGCTGAGTACTGTTCAGATAGACGTGACTGATGATGGACAGGTGAAGGCCGCTGTACAACAGGTCGAAGATCGACTACCAATAGGGTCAAAGGGTGAGGATTTTTTTCATGAGCTACTAAGTGCTGAAGCATGGCGTAAACATGTACATGACAGCTTAATTTCATAGCAAATGTCTATCTTATTTCATAACGTTGTATCTCATCTTTAGATTTTCACCCTGTGGACACTTTATCTACTGACATTGCCTCCTATTCGACTGATTCAGCCGATTGTTTAATCAGCGGAAAAAACAAATGACAGCATACGGGGAATGTAATGTCTTTGTCTTTGTAAGGAAGTATAATAATGGGTTAACTTTCAACACGATCCAACAGGTCTCTATGCACTGGTGAACAATGCTGGAGTCTGGCAGCCGGGAGAGATAGAGTGGGTCAGCATCGCCGCCTACCGACGTGTGATGGACGTACATGCATTTGGTACCGTGCGAGTCACCAAGGCGTTGTTACCACTGATTCGTCGGGCGAAAGGTCAGGGTAATTGTGGTTCTATGTCGTTCTTTGACTGCTTCATATTGATCAGCACCAATGAATACGACACGTTTACAAATAGCACTGCTGTTTTCTTTGTTAGGGCGAGTCGTGAACATCTCCAGTGTGGGTGGGCTCCACGCAGCCCCGATGGCGGGTGCCTACTGCATGGCTAAAGCAGCCGTGGAATTTTTCTCGGACGCACTCAGGTATGTAAGTTACATACATGCGTACATGAAGTTCGTAATCATAGATGCATCTGCATCACGAGGACACGTTTTTTTATACCGAACGAGAGAACCAATAATGCTACGTCCTCTTTATGATATATATTTTTTCATATTCTACGTCCTACTTACCAACATTACCCCCTTAACGCAGGCATGAGATGCACAAATGGGGTGTCAAAGTTGTCATCGTGGAGCCTGGCAACTTTGGACCGTCTACAAATAGCGTTCTGCCAAATGTCTACAAGCAGTACATTGAGGTACAAGTACGATATCTGCATCGTGTTTAGTAGAGAGTGCTTTTTTTCTTCCCCACGTTTAAGGTGCCTCATATTATTTGTAAGATTCTGTACCTAATATGACAATTAAATATAAATATAAATATAAATATAAATATAAATATAAATATAAATATAAATATAAATATAAATATAAATATAAATATAAATATAAATATAAATATAAATATAAATATAAATATAAATATAAATATAAATATAAATATAAATATAAATATAAATATAAATATAAAGGACTTTCTGGTAACCCAAACATATGACAAGCATAAATGAACGAGATAGTCCAAAGAAAAGAGATGATCGATCTGCATTGAAAGAAAGAACTGTGGATGCTGCCTAGGATTCTAAAGCGCTATTTTTGTTAGTTTTGCATATACATGACCAAAAGCAGACTTCTACTACTGATTACACAGAACGTGCGAAACAACATGGAAAAGGCTGTAAAGGAGGATTATGGCATGGGGTACTTCGACTTCAAGACAAAACAACTCAGGGCCTGGATTGATTGTCAATCTAAGGATCCTACCCCTGTTGTAGATGTAAGTGGGTCTTACAGAATATACTGCTGACACATATCTGCCGCTGTTAACTGAATTTTTTCTCTTTTCAATACACATTTAATAATATAACTACTAGGAAAATGGTTTTAGCTTTGGCATGGCTACGATTTGGTATGAATGTTAGCTGTGTCTCATTCACGCAAGAACTTCAAAACAAAACCAGGTCATATACATTGTATAGAATGCACAGGTTGTTGATAAAATGTGGGGGAAAGGACATATATTCATTTTAGTGTAATTTCTTCAAAGCAAAGCAATTAGCAGATGTTGACCTTAAATCCGCAGGCTATGTCGGAGGCCGTTACGTTAACCGACCCCTCTCATCGTTACTTGGTCGGAGCGGATTTGGAGGACTACATAACTTGGATGTGGCTAGAGTACTTTCCCACCAGGTGGACTGACTCTACAGAGAAGGCTGAGAAAGAAGCTGTACCAGCCATGCTGCAGGCAATTAATTAGAACGTGCGTCATATTCTTCAATTGACTGTCAGTCGTTCACTTATATTACTCACCTTAATATTGGCAATATTGAAATGAACTACATTTGTAAGTTGCATGATGTAAATGTTGCAATGTTTCATTTTCAGTGATTATACACAATGTAGTGGATATCGAATACCATGTATGTCGTTGAAGGTTAGACATCCATGTAATGAGATACGCCAAAAACAGTTACTAAAAGCAACTGGATATGATTTGGGTAACGGTCAGACTTTTAAGCATGTATGGTACGGCATTATCTCTTCACGTCGCCACCAGACAATACGTAATACATAAGACAAGAAAAGCACGAATTAACATTAGGCCACACCAAGTAAATTTTATGGATGACGTCTGCGCGCGCATTGATTTTGGCCTGTTCCTAGAAAAAAAAACAAGAAATTCTGTTTCCTGTAACAATGACCAAAGAGTCACGACAGTGTGATAAGGGAAGATGTGATGAAAGGAAAGAAACCCAGGACAGGACAACAACTGCTGTTCCACCTGATTTATTGTTGTTTTGATGATGAATAAAAGCCTTCTTGCTTGCTACACTGTGTCACCTCATTCAATTTGTGTCCTAACATTTGTCGTCTCTTAGTATATTTCTAATCCAGGCATCCTGTTTTTAGGGCCCTTCTTGTTTTTTTTCGCCCTCTCGCATTAGATTTAGGGTCTCCAAAGGACTTCATCCATAAAATTTACTTGGTGTGGCCTTATAGAAATTACATACAACAGTTAATCAATGAACAAGTGAAACAAATATATGAATACTGACAGGCCGATCAAGATATTACAAGGAATGATCGGATTCTAACAAAAATGTCTGCACATGTAGAAATAGTTGAATATTGTACGTTGTTAAAAGAAGAGAAAAACCTTTTAAAAGTAAATGTACCAGAACATCATCCATGTCAGTAATAAAGCCAATCAGGGTTTTTCCTTTTATCTCTTCATTATCTCTTATTTTCTATATCTACGTCACACAGATCAATCCTTTGCTGTTCTAAGCAGACATTGCTTCTTCGCCTGTTCTCAACTTTAAGTCTACACGTTGAGTCTTTGTAACAAAGCACATGCCCTATATGGTGCGATAATGATACATTTCTCGTGGTCTTTGTTTTGTAGGCGTTCATCATTGTGAGTGGAGTGGTTTATTTGATGCTCTGTAACGTCAGCATTTGTCAACTTTTTCCATGCTCTATAAAGTCAGTATTTGTTGAATTTTTCGTTGCACACTAGTACTGTTCATATCTAATAAATACCAAGTGGACATGCACATCGGTCATGGCGAACTTTGCCCCACCTCAAATAGTGACACTCGCTGTGGATCAAAAAGAGGCAGGTCAACATCAAAGTCCATGTTTCGGATAGGTTCCAACAATGGTGAAGCCATTTCATTTGCTTTTCACTGGAAGTCTGGTTGGTTTATCCGCCATTTCAGGCTTGTTGTTGCTGTTGTACCACTGTGCACCTGTCCTGTACTACCTGTGCACAGGGATACTGCTAGGTTCAGTGGGATACTGTCTGGTTCTGTACTTGGCGCCGAAGAGCCGGGTGAATGGGAACGGCAAAGCTGTCTTCATTACAGGTAGGACTATGCAACACTCGCAGTCATGAGCATGTTCACCTCTAGTCTTGGTAGTCTACCAAAACTCTTTAAAATTGTATCTTTTGAGGTATAGACAGATGGTTGACCTGCTTGAATATTTGACTTTCTAACAACAGGCTGTGACAGTGGTTTTGGATTTGGTCTTGCCAAACGCCTGGACTCGCTGGGGTTCACGGTGTTTGCCGGCTGTCTGCTGGCAGACAGTGGTGGGGAGGGGGAGAAGAAACTCCGGGCGGAGTGCTCGAGCAGGCTGAGTACTGTTCAGATAGACGTGACTGATGATGGACAGGTGAAGGCCGCTGTACAACAGGTCAAAAACAGTCTACCGACTGAGTCTGAAGGTGACCACATTCGTATGTTTTTTTGTTGCCAATTGGTACATAGAAACAGTTATACAAACATGAAGGCCTTTTACTATGTCTTCTGGTAACATGAAGGTATATCAGAAATATTATCCTGTTACTTCAAGGTCTCTACGCACTGGTGAACAATGCTGGAGTCTGGCAGCCGGGAGAGATAGAGTGGGTCAGCATCGCCGCCTACCGACGTGTGATGGAAGTGAACACCTTCGGTACATTGCGGGTCACCAAGGCTTTCTTGCCTCTGATTCGTAGGGCGAAAGGTAGGGAGCATTTGTGGAGACTCGTTCATTGCCTGCTAAAACGTCTCTTTTTTTTATAGGAATAAACCTTTTTTTTACAACCAATAAGAACTGCTAGATACAGAAGCGTTTCCACATGTAACATCGTATTTTCCGTTTGAGTCATTGCACAAAATTGTATGCTGTTCTTTATGCTAGGACGAGTCGTCAACGTCACTAGCGCGGAGGGGCTTCACTCAACTCCGACTGTTTCTGCTTACTGCATGACCAAGGCGGCCTTGGAATCTTTTTCGGACGCACTCAGGTATATGAGTACCTATAGAAACCCTTTGCATAAACCAGGACCATTTGCTAAACATAGCTTAAATTGGCGAGGGCAAGACGCTGTGTCATGTTTCAATCTCTTGATAACCCACAATGACTAGTGTAACGACAACTAAGCTTTGTAGACAAAATACATATTGAATGTAGTAATATCCTCCTATGGCATGAAAATAAGTCAGTCTCTTGTCACGTGATTATCCCATCAAGTCACGTGACAAGAGAACTCCAAGACGAGATCTCAATCGGGTTGAAGAAGAGACAGTGTAACGTCTCGAAAGCTCCCCAGCATAGCTGAACTTTGTTGTGTGTATTCGTATAAATATTTTGTCAAAAGTAAGTCAGTTTTTAATATCTGTCTTTTTTTATACAGACACGAGATGCACAAATGGGGCGTCAAAGTCATCATCGTGGAGCCTGGCAGCTTTGGGCCGGCCACAAACATCGCATTGCCAGGGGTCTATCAGGTACAGGGAGGAGTATTATGGAGGAGAAGCATGCCTTTCTCTCCACTTTGATTACAAGGTGTCATGGAGTATGTATCAGTCCTATATAAGACCTTACCGGGTAAGTATTCTGCACAACTGTAGTATTCTGTCTACACCCCGTTTTTCTAAAGCAACTGCTGGGGTGTTGTGGCGTAGCGGCAACGTGCTCGACTCGGAACCAAGAGATCCCGGGCTCGAGTCTTGACATGCCACCGATCTTGTGCCCTTGGGAAAGGCACTTAACACGACTTTCCTCACTTAACTCCAGTAAAAATGAGTATTATCTTGTCCTGTATTCGCCCTCTGTGTTGGTGGCGGCATAAAATAAGTTGATATAACTTGACTTTGCTGTCACCATGTCTAGTCGTGATCATGCAAAATATAAAAAAATATAAAAATATAAATAAAGAATATAAAAAAAGCGATTGTGACCGCTGAGAGACCAAGTTTTTTTTAAATTTCAGCGAGTATCACAATACATGGTTTTTCCAACTTATTTTTATGCCGCCACCAACGCAGACAAACGCACGGACAGCAGACATACTCATTTTCACTTAAGTGGGGAAATTAGTGTAAAGTGCCTTTCCCAAGGGCACAAGATCGGTGGCATAGTAGTGTTCGAACTCGGAACTTTATCGTTACGCCACACGACCCCATTTTGACCGCTAAACGAAATTCATAGATAAAGAACAGTTTTTATGTTTTGTGTGTTTTGTTTTGTTGTCTTTTCAATCATTGCTTACTTTTTAGAATTTGCGGAACAGCATTGAAGAGGTCGTGAAGAAGGATTATGGGATGGAGTACTTCGACTTCAAGAAGGCAGAATTAAGAACCTTGGATGACGAAGGCGCGACAGATCCTAGCCCTGTTATAGATGTAAGAAGATTTATAAAGTTTTTAGATAACTGTGGTTTATACTTAGATATGCTCAAAATCTTTTAAGAAATGTAATGTAGACGTTTAGCTAGTAATAGTACAGCTTACCAGTAGGCGCCGCCATGACAGTTCGACTGAGATACCCCTTCTACGTCACGCATATCATTTGCATATTATTTGCATTCGCAGAAAACCAGAAAATATTGCGCGTTTTGAGCACGTTTTAACATGACTTCCCGACTGAATTATCACACAAACAATATTTTAATCACAAGGCAAAGAACTAAAATCCACAAAAATCGTGAAATATGACGACTTTTTAATTCCATTTCATAGGCTCTTTAAGTACACATTTTAGTCACTTTGGGAATTGGAATGTGTCATACATATAGGTCTCCAAGACAGATCTAGTGGAATTTTGTTGTTGTTGTTGTTGCGGTGGTGGTCTGTTCTGCGTATACAACAAGCTAGAGTTAAACGCACGGGCTAACATAAATGGGAGACAGGAGGATAAATATTGATACTTTTACGTAGCTCTGATTTTCTGGACAATGTTGACACTTTATTCTCAAGGTTCTGGCGGACGCCGTCACCTTGACCACCCCGTCCCATCGCTACTTGGTCGGGTCGAGTTTTGAGGACTACGTGACTTGGATGTGGCTGGGGCACTTCCCCACCCGGTGGACTGATTCTACAGAAGGAAATGACAAGGAAGGAGACCCTAAACCAGCAATGTTACCTAAAACTAACTAGAAAGTTTATTTGGGTCCTGTTAGTTTCAATTATGTCATCGCAATGATAGTAGGCATTTCGTCGGCCTTGCAAGACCATAAAAATACTTTTTCTACACCATGAACTTATTCTTTGTTTTACGCTTAGAGCGTCTGAGTTAGAGGTATAATGCTACATGTATTTGTAGTTTTGTCATGAGCAGATTGCAAGGTGACAATTATCCAAACTGTTAACGAGACGGCCAAATTACGATATTACAAAACAGGACTTATTTATCTATAGTACACTGTATAGTACAGATGACACAGATCGCAGTCAGTTGTTTTGTACAATTTATTTCTTCATTCTTATCATTTTTGCTTGCGCAATTTATTTACGATGATAATGGAGATTTATTCAGTAAAGGCAATTAATTCATATGTGTATTTGCGTCATTATGAAGACAACTCTGCTCAATCTCAAACCCATTAGATCATTAGTAGTCATTAATTGAATCCCAAAAGTCGCAGGTAGCACCATCCAGGTCTTGCATGGCCAAGCTAGCAGGCGTCTGGAATTCGATATATTTTCGCGCGTCTTCGTCGTAGGCAGGCCATTCTGGGGCGGACTTCTTTTGGCACGGGCCGTTGTTAGGGTTGCCTGTGTGGGCGAAGTTGGACCAGTAACAGGCCATGAGGTCGGCGAGGGTGACTTCGTCCGTCGTGTACGTGTAGAGATCCATGGAGTTGCCGTGCCACGAGAAGGGAAGCTCCGCCCCATGGCAGCTGTGATTGACGCAGAACTGGAAGTGTGGGCCCCACCCCGGGAACGAGAACGCGTGCGCAAACTGGTACAAAAAGACGTCGTTCTGCGCACCCACGTGACCTCTCACGGCCGCCCGGTTCGCGCATGTGAACAGCCACTCAGTTCCGATCGTCGCCATGTTTGGTCTTTGGTCGTTGCTGCTTTTATCTGCTGGATATTCGCGAAGGACTTCTAGAACTTTCCACGGTTCTATCGCTAGGGAGGGCAGCAAGAACCCTGTCATGTACTCGTAGTACCCGAGCGCGGACACCGGCTTGCCGAAGCCCTCATACACGTACATAACCGCCTCCTCGCTGGTGGTACCGATGATAATAGGCTTCTTCTGTGCATTTCCCGCCCGAAAAGTGTCCACGGTTTGTTCTAGCAGCTCCACGCCGTCGACGTGTGGACCCCACGGGACAAAAATCTCGACGGGATACTTCAGGCTGACTTGTAGTTTGTTTCCTGCCTTAGTCTGTTATAAAGAAAAGACGCATAAGAAGGTGGTGTAATGAAGTTACTGGTAAGACTTGATTATTTATCACATTTATTTAGTTTTTTTAACGGTGTCGCTCAATGCAAGGCCAATTATTTTTGGCCACTTCTAGGCATAGAGCTAGAGGTACTTACAATGTAAGTGAGTATAATGTAGTTATGTCAGGAGATGGCGGTGAACCTTTGTTTTGAAGCTTTGTGGATTGTAATCGGACGGAAAGCAGCTGTTTGGAAGAGAGTTCCATAATGTTTAAGTTGTGATAGGTATTTCAGGTAAAAAAAAGTCACATAACTTATAAAAGTAGTGAAATAATGTGATACGTTTGAGACAACCGATATCACATGTCAAAGTGGTATCACGGATTTCGACTCAAATTGCTTTTTGAATAAAAAAAAATTAAATAAATAGCTGCTTCTTACTGGTACGTGCGGTTTTAGTCATTAACTTTGTATATCATAAAACCCCAAAAGGTGACAATGAAACCATTACCATATTGTAACTCTTTAAGGTATAAAGTAAGTCTCTGAAACCAAAGTTCAAGACAAGTTTGACCAATTGAGACTTTTTTACCTGAGCAACGATGATATCCTGAGGCTGTTTTCCCGCCATGCAGACCATATCACCATGGCGACAGCCTAGCTCTTCCGCGAAGTACTCGCCAAGTCTGGTAGCTTCAGCCTGCGTCCTATATACAACAAATATATCACATTTACAGCCAACAAGACTGGCAATGAAAACATACATTGCCATGGTGACGGTGGTTGCTGTAAGGGTTATTGTTTGCATGGCACTGCCATCATTTCATGATTTTGAGGAAGCCTTGGTACCTGTTAAGTCTAGACAGATACAGACTGCACTCCTCCCCTGAGTGTATAGTGAACGAGCCCCGGGGTCACAGAAAGTAGGGCCATAGGGGGCAGAGAGGTCTTCACAAGGGTTTCCAGGAATGTGGGCATAGATGTGGGCCAGAGAAATGCCTGTGGACATTCCGCATGCCTGTGGACAAAATGCCTGAGTGTACCATTCCTAGAATTCTTGCAAACTGCACACAATACTGTACCATTAGGCTCCTCCCTGAGACGTCGCCAAAAATATCTACGTCTATGGACAAAATTACAACCATACAAGATCATATTTACAAGGTATAGAAGTACAGTCAAACTATCATAGTGACCACTCAATGAATGTGATGAAAATGATCACAAGTAAACAGATGGTCGCTATAGACAGGGATCCTTGGTTCAATGGGAAAATCATCTTGGGGACGACGATCAGGTTGTCCTCATACAGGGGTGGCCACTAGTGCATGTTTAGCCCTATGTGTTTTCTCTCGTGAAAACGAAAACAAACAAACAACAACACCATACCTGTATGGGATCCCCAGAGGGTCGCTCTCGATGATGCCCCGATGGAACAGGTCCGCTGATTGGTTACTGCAAAGGTGGATACTGATGGACATCCCTCCGGCACTTTCGCCAAATAGGGTGACCTGGGGGTTCAAATACCACAAGTTACCTTAGGGCAAAGGTCACCAAATTGCGCCTACCCAGAAGGCCCAGTCTGAGACCCCTTTCATAATCGCATCCAAACCAACTGAAAACATCCTTTTTTTTGGTATGTGTTGATAAATGGTGGCATTTTCCAGCTGGAGAGTAATGTCTCTCTCTGTTTTGTTGAAAAAACTGGCTGTTAGTGTTGTTTTGGCTGCTTGTTAGAGCTCTAAACCAAATCCCTTCTTGTTGTGTTTTGGTGGTCTCCATAGGGGTCAGAGGTCATTCTCTCATTGTTTTGATTTTTCGTACTATGTATCGCTGGTCAGAAAGTGAAATTTTTGGACTAAATGGACAATTTGGAGGTTGGACTACCCTGTCAACGTGACTTTTTCATAGTTGAACACTCAGGTAGGTACATGTAGTTTTTGACAGCTTATTTCTTGTATGTTTACAATGCAAGTCTATGGGGCTTGGAATCAGTAGGTTGACCCCCTTAGCTGCATCGTTAGTAATACAATCTCATCAGATAGTACATAGTCTCTGAAGTAGATTGGTTTCCTAGAATTGCTGTTTTAGAAGTTGTATTTTATAGAATTGTTGTCCAACTTAGCAACTTCTCTGATAAGGCCACAGCAAGTAAATTTTATGGATGACATCCTCCACAGACTTCAAATCTACTGCGAGCGGGAAAAATACAAGGTTCCTACATTTTCAAATTTTGACTCAATCATTGTACAAATGGTTTTGATTCAATGAGAACATCACATATACACAGCCAGCATCACATATCACTGTATCAAAGTAAAAAACAAAACATTGAATCAGAATCTTTTCTTGTCTCCCGTCTTCAGTTATCTGCCATTCACGTTCCAGCATGGCAACAGACATCTTTGCCTATTTTCGGCATGTTGACCACTGTCAGAGGGCAACAAAATTTCTTGTTTTGTTATTTTTCAAAATCAGGCGAAAATTAATGCGCACGCTGATGTCATCCATAAAAATTACTTGCTGTGGCAAGTGTTGTTTTACCTGTTTTGGATCGCCTCCAAACGCAGCGATGTTCTTCTGTACCCACTGCATCGCCTGTCGCTGGTCCATGATTCCATAGTTACCTTTGGATGCGTTCTTCCCGGTGCCAGCTGTCAAGAAGCCAAGGGCACCTACATAAGAAAAAAAAATGTATTTTTTTTTCTGTCAAATCTCTACTTCATCAATCAATCAATCGATCAATCAATCAGAAATGGTTTATTGCTAAAAATCACGAACATTGCAGCAAAAGCTGAATTGCGTTCAAAGATACAATCATTTTAAAAACGTTAACAACTACACAATCTCGGAGTCCAATTGTCGTAGACAATTGCACATTGGAAGATATTTACACGATATGACATACATTTAGGTTAGTGAAATTCAAATTTTGCTCATCTCATTCACATCTGTACTTAACATATACTTAACATAACTATATGTCACCATATACTTCAGGTATCACATCTCCATTTTATAAATTATTAGAAGGTCATTTTAGTTTTTGAAAGGCAGCAACACATCATGATATCCTCACTTCTTTTACCATAACACTAACAAAATCAAGGAAAAATTATCACCATATACAACAAGGCATATTGCTCATGTATTCTATTGATGCTAAATATTTGTAACAGCCTGATAACATGTAACATATCACATACCGAGTCTGTAGTTGAACGTCACAACAACGACCCCTGTCTCATTAGCGTAGTACTGCCCGTCGTACAAGATGACCTCGCTTGACCCCCTGAGGAACTGTCCGCCGTGTATCCACATCATGACCGGGACCAGAGACTGTGGCGAGGCGTTCAGAGGCGTGAAGATGTTCATGTACAGGCAGTCCTCGTCCGTCTGAAAAAAATGTCCAGTGTTTAATAACTTTTTTTAAAACTTATGACTTGCTCACGTACTTAAACAAGCACCTGTGGGGTCAGAGTGCAGAGTGCGCGACTCGGAACCTAGAGGTCCCGGGTTCGAGTCCTGACGATCTTGTGCCCTTGCTTGGGAAAGGCACTTTACATAAAAAAAAGTTGACACGACTTTCCTCACTTCGCTCAGGTAAAAATGAGAATTGTCCTGTCATGTATTTGTCCCCTGTGTAGGTGGCGGCATTAATATAAGTTGAAAAAAAAACTTGAGTGTGCCGTCACCACGTCTGGTGATTACATGTTGGAATACAAAAAAAAGCACCTCCATCAACAATGCCGCGCTACACGGTCCTTGTTATTGTTTTTCTAGGTACTGATGATTTAAAAAATGTCCAGATGAATTTAAAAAATGTCCAGTATTAGATCCGAGAAAAAAACAACAACTGGCATTTATGAAAACAAGCCATACACAGCATATTTATTTTCTGCACTGGGCTTCACTGGCTTATGGGACCCATTCTATAATTTTTGCCATTAGGTTTATTCAAAATGCACACAACCCAACCCCTCCCCCTCCCAACCTCGCCTTTCAAGGACGCATTGTAAAACATTAACGTAGCGAGGTCGACGGTCTATCGTACGTACGCTGCCATCTTGCAGCACGTAATATTTTCTTATACATGTAGTAATTTTCAACACATAGTTGATGCCACATAGCTGTTATGGCAGTCAAAGAGGCCAATATTCTTGTAGTTACTTGCAGTCAATTTAATGGTTCAAAGTAACCACGCAATGATGCAATCTACACGTAGTTCTTAAACAAGCTCAGCCTATTGTTAAGTCTCTATTTCGCTGCGTCTTTGCTCTTTGATCCCTCTATGTTTAATGTGTATAATCTATACTACCTTAGGAGGACACATGTGTGGTGGAAGGGTGCAGTTCTGTGGACATCCCGGTTCCTTCTCCGTGACTTGCAGCACGTTTGGAGCCCACGAGGCCGGCTCCTGCGGCGGCTTCCAGCGCAGTGGTCCCGTCGGTGGCGCCGCGTAGGGGATCCCGTAGAACACGCGAGCCTTCTCGGTGTAGAGTCCCTGGACCTTACCGTAGGTCGTCTCGACCAGCGGCCCTTTCTGGGCGTTGACTTGAACAGAGTCGCACCACAGCAAGCCCAAAGCGCAGGCGAGCAGATTTAAACTGTCTAGAATGTTCATGGCGGTTATGTCTGGTTTGACAACGTTTTAGAGAACTGGTCGTTACTACATACACTGTGAGTCCGCCCCCTTCGTTCCTATACAGTAGTTAAAATCAGAGCAAGCGTGATATCTGTACAAAGGTCGGGGTCGAAATGCTCCTTAGGAAAACAAAGGACACCTGAAGGCTGAAAAGGTCATTTGAAGGCTGAAAAGGTCATTTGTTCACTGTGCGATAAAGCTGTACAACGAGTCTGTTTCATAAACTACCCTATGCTGTATCTGCATCCAATTTTGTTATCTTTATGCTGCATTTTACTACTGTTTATTGGTCATCGATTGTATTGTATTGTATTATGTGTTGATTGTAACAAACTACCCACTTCAGGGAGACATTTGTCTTTCCCTGCATGTGTATGTTTGCGGTTGGAAAACCATGCAATAAAGACGTCGAAAGCACACAAGAGGCCCATAAGAGCTGTTTAGGGTGACAAGGAACAAGCCATGCTAGGAAAGAGAATCCAACTTCCCGTTCCGCAAACACATTCACCAAAAAATCGGAACAGATTCTCATATGCAGTTTACAAAACCTGACTTGTGGACAACACGCCTTTGCTCACAACATGCATATGCTTGCAAGTACTGTGTACGTATCGCGATGACCATAATTTACATGTATGTTCTCCACCAATATTAGATTGTTTCAAACTTCCATAGAACACTTCCTATGCTATGGACGCTGACCGGGTGGTTCAATTTCTTGTTTTTCGACAGTGGTTAAATGCTGTTCCTGTACAAAGAATAACAACAACACAAGGCCTCTTCTCATGTGAAAATAGTAACCTTTGCCCTTACATGTAGCTATTACTGGTGTAACTGGTTCCCGTGTTCAAAGGTCGACAACCTGCTGACGCGCTGTCGTTTGTTGAAACATCGCTAGGTGGCGCTGCAAATGATACCAGAACGCGACAGGTGGCTGTTAACTGTTACCAGACTAAGGCGTGTTCTGACAGAAGTGTTATGACTAGGTGTGTTGTTTTAGCTAGTTTAGCTAGGTATAAAACCAAGGAAGATGCGACACTAATAGATAATGGATTGTGAACTAAAGACCTTTATTCTACCAAGGGTCTCCTTCTAACTCCATGATTGTACGTTTATTCTTTTACAAGCTAAGTACATGTCATGAATAAACAGGAAAACGTAGTGACATCTGCAATTTGGGATCAGTCCAAAACTTACCAACAGACACATATCAATACTAATACCCTATACCCGTTCTCTTTGACTCGATAACGTTAAGGCTATCCCTTAGTATCAGGGGAGAGTATCAGAAAGGGCTATCACAAAGACATATTCTGGCAAATTCTATCATATACACCCCATTCATGCCGAATTTTTAATGAGTTTATCGTGAATCAAAAGACTATATTACTGCCAAAGTCTCCCAACCGACTTATTTTTCAAAGTCGGACAATTCATCTCCCACTGCCTTCTGAGAAGAAATCAAACCTCCTAACAACTTGGCTAGAATAGTATACTAGTAGAATAGCAGTTACCATGTCTCCTATTTATGTGAAGCATATCCGCTGTCTACCCTGTATACCAACGTTATGTCAGTTTTAAAGTAGATATTATATATTAAATAGTAAATTAAATAAGTAGAACTCCATGTTAGCATAATTATAGTCTTAAATTCACCACATTCTGTACTCATGGTTCTTGTCAATGTCTGTTTGCAATTAGCCCTGGGGCACGAACTTGCAATAAAAGAACTCGAACTCATATATCAGAATGACTAGACGATATTTCAAACTCGTCCAGGTAAGAGTCAAACACGTTTGGATTTTCCCATGTATTTTGTGATATCTAACTTGTAACTGATACGGCAATAAAAGAACTCGAACTCATAATCATATCAGAATGACTAGACGATATTTCAAACTCGTCCAGGTAAGAGTTGAACAGGTTTGGATTTTCCCATGCATTTTGTGATATCTAACTTGTAACTGATACGCCAAGCGTATAGCTATAACTACAAAGGATACCGAACGTTTTGTAAATATACACTAAACTGCAATGATGACGTCTTTGGGAACTACTGCCGCTTTGAGGTCAGAAAGGTTGTGAAGCCTATAGGTCAAAACATCTACAGTTAGATAAACCACTTCGTATCGTGACTAAGCTGATTTTTTTCACACGTAGACATATACTAACTTTTAAAAATATTCCACACATTATAATGGATATAAAACAAAACAAAAACAACAATTACACTCTTCCATGTACAATCAAGGCTTCGAAATGTTCAGATCTATACAGGTATGGATCATTTATTTGGGTCACACAAAGTAGACTGTATGGTTGGCGTTCTCTGCAGCTCCAAAATATTATGACAGTTCGCAATTTCCGCAAAGAAACCAATACATTGCACTGGGCTTTTGAGGATATTTCTGCTAATTTTTCTACAGCTTCAAAACAACGTTACCATATATTACTAGTAGTTCTCTACGCTGGTATTATAAATGAATTGCAAAAGCGGATCTTATTACAGTGTATTCTTGATTGTTGTAACCGCGATGCAAGTATTGTTGTATAGCTGCCAATTGTCTGTATTTAATGCGCGGGAGCTAGACATGTGATCAAATTTGCCCGTCCCAAGCCCCTTTCCTGTGCATGTATTAGGCCACAACAAGTACATTTTATGGATGACATCCTCCGCAGACTCCAAATCTAATGCGAGCGGGCGAAAAAAAAAACAAGGCGGGCCGAAAAAGACCAGGTTCCTACATTTTAAAATTTTGACTCAATCATTGTACAAATGGTTTTGATTCAGTAGGAACAACACATAATCACAGCCAGCATCACATATCACTGCATCAAAGTGAGAAACAAAACATTAAAACAGAGCCTTTTCTTGTCTCCTCTCTGCCATCCACCTTCTGGCATGGCAACATGCATATTTGCCCATTTTTGGCACGTTGACCACTGTCAGAGGGCAAGAAAATTTCTTGTTTTTTTTCCAAAATCAGGTGAAAATTAAAGCGCACGCTGATGTCATCCATAAAAATTACTTGCTGTGGCCTCACGCCGGCGTCCCGACACACGGCGGTTTGTACAGGTACAAGTTTGTACCGGTTTGGCCCGACATTCAGCTCGTTCAGTTCTGCATGTAGCAAAAACACCCAGAATGGCGCTAACTGTGGTGTTCTTATTGGCTCTTTCCCTGGCTTCAGCCCAAGCTGGTAAGAACTTTTTTCTTAAAAAAACGTAAGCAAGGTCTAGATTGTTCGTAATAGAGACTCTTAGGACTCTCTGGTCTTCACTGCCCATGTGAGGCTTTTTGAAATGTTTTCGTTCGTGTGTTTGTATATGTATTGCAATGTTAATTTGTATTTGCCAGACAAGTAACTGTAAAAAAATCAGTGTTATACAGCATGTTTTTGTACAGGCTGCAAGGCTGGTTTTTATGAATTAACTGTTATAGTTAATGAGTATAATACTTGTTTTATTATCGTATGTTACATTGTCTTTTGTTACTTGTTTGAATGTGTCAGAATAGTACGCAGCATGTGTTTGTAACTAAAAGAAATACATGAACGTAGCCGAAGTGTAACCGTGTGCTTCCCGTCTAGATAAATTCCAACCAGAATCGTACGACTACCATAGAATTGAAGTTAAGACAGGTTGCCGTGTATTCATTGACACTCCAAAACTAATTTGGGCGGGTGGCCAAACTCCCAAGCGCCGTAAACATAATTGAGAAGTCCCGATGGCATGGTTTCCAGGCTAAGGAAACAGTCTATCAGAAGATAAAGCACCTGTCCAACGCACTGCCAAAATGTAGGAAAATGCTTTCTTGATCAACTCGCGTCGTATGATGAATACAAGCGAAAAGGTTTTTCAAGCCTATGGTGTATGCCACTTTATTGAAGGCGAATCATTGAAAATATAATGAGCTCGTGCTGATTTCTAATTATGCTTGAAACATGAATGTATCTATCAAATAACGTTTCAAAACATTGTCATTTTATTGATTCGAAAATCAAACAAGAAGCCATAGGTAACAATTCTCCGTGAAGTTTTATATATTTCAACAAAATCCCAAGCGTCAACGCCAGACCTACTGTGCAGACATTATAATTAGGCAACGGTTAATACAATGAGGGCGCGTCACAAGCATAAAACATACAAAGAGCTAAATCCATTACTGCTCCCAGGGCGTGTAAAGATACTGTGCTTCAAGTTCTAACTTCATTTTAATTACACACACACAATCATTGCATTCACATAAAGATCGGACTATCATGGTCGTGTCTAGTAACAAAGACAGCCCCACCGTCTTACGGTGCCTGTACCTAATTAAGCGCGCCTGGAACAAGCCAAATTCCAGCAACAGTGGCGGTAAGCACCGCGAGTGTTACTACCGCCGGCCAGATACAGTAACCAGGATATCTGCTTACAGTACCTCTGCTACCAGACAACTGCCTAAACCTACGGTCTATTCCACAGGATTGTAAAAGTAGGGATGTTTCGAAAATAACCATTTACTCCAATATCAAAACAGCTACGGTAAAAATAAAAAGACGTGCATCATCCCGGACATAATGCAACACCACATGCGAAATTACACAGATATGCGACGTACGGCAGAATGCGTTTTGGCTGCGAACATCTTCCAAAAAACTTGGCATCTCTTAACCATGGGCAAAAACATCTGGAACCACTTATAAAAACCACCCCGTATCTGCATGAACTTTTACCTCCCCCCCCGCTATTCCAAACAACGCGTTTTTCTGGACCGTTCCAATTCGCCTCGTAATTGTAGGGGTGCGTCTGCGATATTACATTGACCGCGAAAGCAGCAACGGCAAAAATACACATTCGTGCATCAACACGGGCATGCCCGCAGACGGCGTATAAAATTGCGTGCCGATTACACGAAGAGAACCCAGTGTTTTGACTGCGAACATGAAAAATCAGCCGATTACAACACTCCGTCCGGAGGTCCTGACCTCCTTCACGGAGTAACAACGAACAGACAAAAAACAAACAGAAACAAATCTAGCTCATTTTGTCAGACATCCAGGTCCGTTTGGCGGACGGTGGACCGAACTACGGGCGTGTGGAGGTGTTACACGGCCACGTCTGGGGGACCGTATGTGACGACAACTTCGGTAAAGAGGACGCCGACGTCGTCTGTCGGGACCTGGGCTTCCCAGAAGCCACCGATGTCTACACGGACGCCTTCTACGGCCCGGGCGCGCAGAGCATGCCGGTATGGCTGGACGAAGTCTCGTGTAAAGGTTACGAGAGTTCGCTGAAGTTCTGCTCGCATGACGGCTGGGGAGTCACCAACTGCGACCACGCCGAGGACGTTAGCATCAAGTGTTTAGGTACGGGTTCCTCTGTCCACATTCTCCATTGTACAAAAGAGCGAGAAGAAGTTGACCACTCTGTATTAGGCCATGTTGATTTGATTATATGGATGACATCCTCCGGAAACCCCAAAATTGATGCGCGCGTGCGAATAAAAAAAAAGTTTTGCAAAAAAAAAAGTTGTTTTCATTATGAAATCTACGTGGTCATGAGGGTTGAGCAAATGGCACAGAATATGGTTTGGCGAATAATCTAGTCTTCAAGTTCATTTCTTTACAATTTCGTATTTTTTCGTTTGGTTTTGGCATTCTACGACATTGGTATGGTTTTTTTTTGTAACTTACGGTATATTTTTGCTCATTTTGCAACTGTTTTGCACGATTTACAGTATGGTTGAAAACTTTTTTTTTGGAAACGGCCGAAAATTCATGCGCGAGCGGATGTCATCCATATAATCAAATCAACATGGCCTTAGCTCAGTAACTAGAACACTTTGTATTAGCCTAGTATAGTATCATTGTATGTTCCTTATGTATGTACATGTATGTCTAAGTCAAGTAGTGTATCTTTTGTCTATACTTTTCTACATACGTTTGTTATGTGTCTGTTAAGTCTTGACCTGTACCTAGCCCGTCGTGGCATGAATGTACAATATTAATAAAGGTATTTCAATTTCAATTTCTGTAAAGCTGAGGTTACAATTCCCACACGGGGCCCGGCCGGGCAGCTTTTGACGAAAATATGATATAAAAGACAACAAAACACAGAAAAGTTCTTAATAACAATCATGGGCACTATTTCTGCATATTCTTGATATAAACTGTTAATTTTTTCGTTCATACAAACAGCCCGACCGGGCCCCGGTTTGGAAATGTGACCTAAGCATAATCGAAACAGATACGAAGGCGACACAATTTGTATTGCACTGAAATCCGCTGATGTTTTAAAGTCATTTGAAACCCCTGGTCTATTACAAAGTCATAACATGATAAACTTCACGAAAGATAATTCTTTGTGTTTTATGTACAGATGCATACGTTCGCTCTCTGACTAAGATTACATGACATACGCACATGCTCGTTCATTCATTTATTTACTCATTCACGCATCCATGCATCCATCCATCCATGCATCCATACATCCATGCATCCATGCATCCATCCATCCATCCATCCATCCATCCATCCATCCATCCATCCATCCATCCATCCATCCATCCATCCATCCATCCATCCATTCATTCATTCATTCATTAATAAAGCCGTCTTTCCTCCCAGAATGCAAGACAGTCCGGATATCCGGTTCCACCACCTACCAGACGAACACCATGGGCACCTACACCATAACGGGAGAGACATCCGGATCCCGTCCGGTCTACGCCATCAACTCCGGAATCAACACCTATCTACACTACGTGGAGGCCGCTTCGGCTTGGTGTGTCGGTCCCACCCTGGGAGTGCGCCTATGCGGGATAGAGTTCGCCGACACGAGTTATTACGCCAATGAGATTACCGCGACGGCGGAGGTGTTCACCGGGACACCGGGACAGTGGGTGGTCTCACCGCAGGTCCAGATCAACTGTGAAGGTCAGTTTCTTTTCAGTGCCAAGGTTAAACTAGTGTAATGTTGGAAGTGACTTGTTCGCCACCCTACAACCACTCTCACATAGGCGTAACGTTGCAAGCCTTGCGTTATTTTCTCGCTACTTCCACGGTAAATATTCCGTGGAACTTCATTCGCTAGTGCCGCCACTTCGAAAATTCTCAACAAGGACACGTCTTGCCACTTCCACCGAAGCAAATCACCCTTTCTTCCTCCATTCACCAGCTCTTAGGAGGAAGTTCCGTGCTGAAAGCTTCTTTCCAAGAACAACATCACTATGGAATAAGCTACCCCGTGATTGCTTCCCCTGTTAATATAACCTTAAACTCTTCAAGTCTAAGATCAACAAACACCTGTCCTCACTGGCTGTACAGTAACCCAAAACATTTAAGTGGCTCCCATGAGCCTCGTTTTGTGGTAACCGATGAAGTAAATACAAAAAAAAATGTTCAACTCCAAAAGACAATGGGACTTACCCAAATGTTTGACTGAGCAGCAACAGTCTTTGTCAACGAAGGAAAAACCCACCACTCAATGCACTGGTGAGCAGTAAGTCAAAAAGTTCATAGCGTCCCCCGTCTCCTTTTAATGTCAAATACGACCGTAGCTAATCCTGTCGAGGATGAGTTAGAAGCGGTTTCTTCTAGTTAAGTCAAGTATACATCACACATCGTGGTTTCATGCTTGCTGTACTGACCCCTAGGCGTGACGGGTGCCACTATAGACTGCAACTTTGATGATGACGTCTGTGGCTACATTGCTGACCACAAGGCCAACTTCACCTGGACACAGATGTACGGTCCAACTCAAACCAGTGGGACCGGACCGGGCTGGGACTACCCAACTGGACAAGGTACATCACATTATATTTATTATGTTACATTTATAATGAAGTTCATGAATGGGATATGATGATGAATTTATAATATGATGTTTATTCCAACTGCTAGTTTTCTGACATTCTATTGAGTCTACTTTACACCTATTTCATTCAAGGCTTTTCATACTTACTTTTAACTATTATAGTTATCGAATAGACGAAAGAACGTGACTAGGCTTAAAATAGACTTACGACAATAGCAGCTTTTCTATTTCAGTGCATTGTATGATCTGTACCAACGTAGTATAATAAACAATGTAATCATTGTTATCATCGTCATCAAGAACAACGTCTTCAATATCATCAATATCATTGACATCATCACCATTTTTGTCTCTTAAACTCCTTCATACATGTAGTTCACTTTGTGTTTAATTATCTGGTTCATTCTGTGTTGATATATTTTGCTGACGAACCCACCCGCTGCCATTCTCCAGACTATCATGTAAATTTGTATATACAGTATCACTGTTTTGTATTTTTTTATGCACATTTATTTGTGGGCATGGTGGCCTTGAAAAGGTCACTTAGGTGCACCTGTTCCACCATGACCTCCATGTACTAGTATATTATGTATGTGGTTAATCGTAATAAGTAAAAAAAAATAAATTCTCAGGAGGCTACATGTACATCGAGACGTCCATCCCCCGCCAGCCGGGCGACGTAGCCCGTCTGGTCAGCCCGCGTGTGGACGTGTCCGGCCCGTCCTGCCTGCGCTTCGCCTACCACATGTTCGGCAGCAGCGTGGGGCAGCTCAACGTGTACGTGGACAACCGGGAGGCCGGCTGGAGGCTGGCGTGGAACAAGACCGGAGACATGGGCAGCGTGTGGCGGGAGGAGAGGGTGGAGGTGGAGGGACCCGGCATTCAGGTCAGTTAGGGTTAGGGTTAGGGTCAGGGTTAAGGTGAGGGTTAGGGTTTGGGTTAGGATTAGGGTCAGGGTTAAGGTGAGGGTCAGGGTTAGGGTTAGGGTTAGGGTTAGGGTTCGGAATAGGGTTAGGGTTAGGGTCAAGGTCAGGGTTCGGACTAGGGTTAGGGTTATGGTTATGGTTATGGTTATGGTTAGGGTTAGGATTAGGGTTAGGGTCAGGGTCAGGGTTAGCGTTATCCGTGGAACCAGACCGGAGACATGGGCAGCGTGTGGCGGGAGCAGAGGGTGGAGGTGGAGGGACCTGGCATTCAGGTCAGTTAAGGTTAGGGTTAGGGTTAGGGTTAGGACTGGGGTTAGGGTTAGGGTCAAGGTCAGGGTTCGGACTAGGGTTAGGGTTAGGATTAAGGTTAGGGTTCGGTTAGGGTTAGGTTAGGGTTAGGGTCAGGGTCAGGGTCAGGGTCAGGGTCAGGGTTAGGGTTAGGGTAAGGGTAAGGGTTAGGTTAGAGTTATATCCGTGGAACCAGACCGGGGACATGGGTTAGGAGGCGCCCGGCATTCAGGGCAGTAAATACACCTTTCCAAGGATCCCATTGCATGCTGTGAGACGCAGGGCCCTATGGGTAACACAAGTGGTTAACAAAATCATTACCATGACATCGTCGACCGGACCAGGAAGGTTTTAAAGATGCCGGACACCTGCAGTACGCATGCACTGTGTTCGTTGTTAGCCACCTGCATTACCCATATAGTGTTCCGCCTCTCCCAGCATGCAACGGGGTCCGTGAAAAAGTCTATGTCTTTGATAGTTCTTACGACGTTACAGTTGACAGTCGACACTTTTTTTCGTTTCGTTAACTTAACAAGGAAGCATGTGCATTGAACAATTAATAATACAATAGGGTAAAGTGGTAATGGTAGGAGAAGTAACATTTTCATTTCTTTTTCGCTATAGGTGGTGTTTGAAGGTATCAGTGGTGACGGTGAATCAGGTGACATCGCCATTGACCAGATCCAGCTCACAAACGGACCCTGTCCCACTGGTACGGAAGACTTTGACAATATTGAGATAATACAAACTTAATGGCATTGACAGCTCAAGGGTTCGTTTCCTAGCCGTTGTGTCCTTGGAAAAAAGGAACATGACACAGCTATCCTCACTCCATTCAGATGTAAATACATGTTTGTGTCCGAATTCAGTTGTGAAGGTAAAAGACAACGAAAGGAAAGAGATGGGCTCTGTTTTCATTAGGCCATGCTGATTTGATTATATGGATGCCATCCGCGCGCGCATGAATTTTCGGCCGTTTCCAAGAAAAAAAAAGTTTTCAACCATACTGTAAATCGTAAAAAAAAAACAGTCACAAAATGAGCAAATATATACAGTTAGTTGTAAAAACAACGTAACATTGGAAAATGATACCAATGTGCAATCAAGGAAAAAAACGAAAATGTAAGGACATGAATTTGAAGAGTAGATTATTCGCCAAACTATACTCTGTGTCATTTGTCCCACCTTCTAGACCGTGTAGATTTCATAATGAAAGTAACGTTTTTTGGCCAAACTTTTTCGCACGCTCGCATCAGTTTTGGGGTTCCCAGAGGATGTCATCCATATAATCAAATCAATATGGCCTTACCTAGCCTAAATTTAAAGCACAATAGATTAACAACCAAACACCCTTACGACGTCAGGAAGTTTCTGTGACTTTTACGCTTTTTTACCCATTTCAGCGTGCGAAACGATCCGTATCGCCGGTACCCCACCCCAGCTGGGTGATCTATCCGGTACCTACACCATGACCGGTCAGATTGCCAACGCCCGGCCCGTGTACGCCAACAACGCCGGCAACGGGCTCTTCCTGCACTTCGTGGCGACGCAGGAGATCTGGTGCCTGGGACCCACGGTGGGGACCGGGAACTGCGCCATGTACACCCCCGGACAGGACCAGTACGCCGAGGAGATCACCGAGCCGTTCCTGTTCTACAGCGGCGGACTCTGGCTGGTGGCACAGGACGTCAGGATCACGTGTGAATGTGAGAAGTAGCTCCTGTGCGTCCATACATAAACCTAGTGTCTAATATTTATAACGTTCGCTATCTATCGTACATAAACCTAGTGTGTTATGTGTATCATCTATCTTAGTGTGTTATCTATTATAACCTAATGCTGAGATCACATTTCCAAACGGGGGCCCGGCCGGGCAGCTTTTGGGAACGAAATATACGATATAAAAGACAAGAAAACACAAAACATTTTAGAAACTATCATGGATATTATTTGTTTTATCTTCTTACTATGAATTGATAAATTTTCGTTGATGCAGCCCGGCCGGACCCCGGTTTGGACATGTGACCTCAGCATAACCTATGATGCATATATATATAGAGAGAGACATAGTGTGTTATGTATATATCATCTATCATACTTAACTATCAATCATACTTCTAAACTATTCATCATACTTAAACTATCTTGTGATTTGTGCGCCTTCAAAATGTAATATTATATGTTTTCTCCTAGCTGCGAGAGACGCGACTTTTGACTGCACGTTTGACGGTGACCTGTGCGGCTACACGGCGGACAGAACAGCCAGCTTCCTCTGGTCCATGAACAGTGGATCTACGGCATCTCCGGACACTGGGCCCGCTGGGGACTTCCCGACTGGTGCAGGTAAGTTAGCACTACATATACCGTTCACATGGACCATGAACAGTACTAGTGGATCCACGGCCTCTCCCGACACCGGGCCTGCTGGGGACTTCCCGACTGGTGCAGGTAAGTTATCATTATATGTAACGTTCACCTGGACCATGAACAGTGGTCCTTCCGGACACAGGGCCTAGTGGGGACTTCCCGGCTGGTGCAGGTAAGTTAGCACTACATATAACGTTTACATGGACCGTGGGCAGTGGTCTCTCCGGACATCGAGCCCGCTGGGGACTTCCCGACTGGTGCAGGTAGGATAGCAGTACATATAACGTTCACATGGACCATGAACAGTGGTCTTGTCAGACACAGGACCTAGAGGGGACTTCCCGACTGGTGCCCGTAGGTTATAATTAGCACTACAAATAACGTTCACCTCGACCATGAACAGTGGCCTCTGACGACACAGGGCCTGCTGGGGACTTCCCGACTGGTGCAGGTAGATTAGTACTACATATAACGTCCACCTGGACCGTGGGCAGTGGTCTTGTCGAACACAAGGCCTAGTGGGGACTCCCCGACTGGTTCAGGTAATTTATCCAATTATCATTATATGTAACGTTCACCTGGACCATGAACAGTGGTCTCTCCGGACACAGGGCCTAGTGGGGACTTCCCGACTGGTGCAGGTAAGTTATCATTATATGTAACGTTCACCTGGACCGTGAACGCTGGTCTCTCCGGACACCGGACCTAGTGGGGACTTCCCGACTGGTGCAGATAGGTTAGCAGAACATATAACGCTCACATGGACCATGGACATTGGATCCACGGTCGAGGCGAATGTACAGCAAGCTAAGACGCACTCATGACAACTTTTAACATAATGGACGAATGAAAAGATATTAATTTTACATATTTGCCCCATGGGTACAGGTCACTACAGGACAAGTACACATTTAACGTTACATTGAAACTAATATGGGTGAAAAAAACCTACAGTGTGTTATTAATTATATGAGTTGCGTTCTTTTCACTTCTTTGTAATGATGAAAATTCAATCAAATAGCAGCATGTGCTAGTGTAAATACACAATGCTCAATCGCTTTATCGCAAGCTTGTTTGTAAATATAACACTTCCTCTGTTTCCCGCAGGTCAGTACATGTTCATCGAGTCGTCCACTCCGCAGCAGGCGGGGGACACAGCCCGGTTGGTCAGCCCCGAGGTGACCGTCCAGTCGCCCTCCTGTCTGCACTTCGCCTACCACATGTTCGGCGGCGACATCGGGCAGCTCAACGTGTACTTCAGGACTGACGCAGGACTGTCGGTTAAAGTCTGGAGTCTGTCGGGGAACCAGCTCAACGAATGGCACGACGGGGCTATAGATATTTCACCACAAAGTCTTAAGGTAAAAAAAATACCCTGGGTGCCATCCGATCTGTTCGGGGTTGCCGTTACAAATCGGATGGCACCCAGGCTAAAAGACACATGTTTCGTACAAAAAAACAAGTATTATTACACATGTTTGCCACACTGAGAAGGTCACAGTACAGGTACAGGTACAGGTCCCAACAAAACATGATGAACAGATACAGTTAACAGGTACAAGATAAATCTAACTAACGTTACATGTACTCGTACATGTATCATTAGATAAATTCAACTTCTCGCTTTTCAGTTATAGTAGAGATAAAAGAACAGATATGTTTTTTGATGTGAGTTTTTTTTTAATTTGCATGTGATGTAACTTTGTTTCCGGAATATTGACCTTTATTAGAAGCTTTGTTGAACATTTTGTAAACGTTGTTGTATTTCTTTTTAAACGTAGTGTCCATCACAAAATGACTAATCTGTACTGTTTTATAAAACTACACCACCCATGTCGTCTTCTCTTACTTTTTACTAATAGGTCGAATTCGAAGGTGTGGTTGGAAATGGGTACCGGGGTGACATTTCCATTGACAATATCTACCTCGCGGACGGACCATGTCCAGGTGATGGAACAGCCCTAACTCTGATTTCAGCTTGCCTTTCTGGCTAACTCAACGACTTTCCATTCACTAAGAAAATCTTTAAGCGTCCCTTAAAGCATGCTTAAATGTTCCAATTTTCCGTTGAAGTGAAGTAACAGAATGTTTAACTGATGTAAAATGTGCTTAAAGCTCGCATTTCATGCAATGATTTTAGCGATATGCAAACATGACTTAGCCTCTATCGGGCTTGGGAAGGCGGCTGGAAAGAGTAGAAATTTTCCAGAGATAACATGTCAGCAGAGCTGGTTTATCTCTATTTGGCCAATTTCTACTCTTCCCAGCCGCTTATCGAAGCCTGTAAGAGGCTAAACGACTAACTGTTGCCTTCCCCATCATCTGCTCGTAGCGAACGACTGTACGTCCGATCCTTGTCACAACGGCGCCACGTGCACGGACCTGCAGACTACCGGCTACACCTGTCAGTGTGCGCCGGGCTGGATCGGCGAGACCTGCGATAAAGGTGAGAGTTTCTTCGCCTACCAGCGTACTTTATTATCTATTTTATTCTTTGTTTCAGGCCAAAGGACCATATCAAAAGAGAAGCAATGACAAATGTACAAATACACGCAGACAAATTACATACAAAGGTTTAAAAAGTACGGCCAGTACAGTAAAGGACATACACAATGCTGTTTCTCGATGCGAGAAGGTGCGTCACAAATGAGTAGGTGAGTTTGCGCCACCTGGCGTCGAAGTTGTGCACATAACAGACTGTTGCTACACCACCTAGGCTGATTAAACAGCAGTTCTATCTATTAGTACTACATTGTAGCTATCACGGTCCAAATAATATGTGGGTTCACGGTCAATACAAGTTATGGTTATTTTGTTTACATCCTGTAAACCCAACTGTCACCAGTTTTCCCCCTAAGACTCCTTGGTTGAGACGCCATGGCGATCGCTCAAGTTGCGCATGCACAGGGTGATGCATCGTGGGTAATTGGTATATCAGTGTTGAAGGCCCCTGAGATGTAAACAGAATACGTTTAGATGTGTATTAAGCATGCGGCCTGGACAAGAATTGCTTCTTCGTTGTCTACACTGGACGAATTCAGATTCGCGGGTACACTCCCATCCGGCAGCTATCTTGCCGTATACGAGCTTATACTAGCGGATGCGACGGGAATCTGGACTAAACCTATTTCGTCCAGTGCTAGACCATGCTAAACTGCCCAGCGCAGGTGGAACAGTGAATCGGCTTATACTAACGACCTCTTGTCCTATGCAGACTGCGTGACCGTGGAAGTGTCCGGGTCCGCCGCCCTGCAGATCGACCGGATGACGAGCTACACGGCTACCGGCGACATGTCCGGGGGCCGGCCGGTGTACGGCAGTAACACCCTCGCGGGAGACTTCCTGCACTACCTGGGGGCGGACGGCGTGTGGTGCATCGGTCCCACGGTCGGGGTGTACAGCTGCGGCGCCATCGTGACCGACGACCACATGTTCGCGGATGAAATCACGGGGACGTTCATGCTGTGGGACGGGACGTCATGGGTGTCGTCTCCTGAAGTTAGCATCCAGTGTCAAAGTGAGTTCGCTCTAGCCTCCTGTAAAGGCGTTCCGGAATCAGTCTTTTTTTGCACGGGGGGGGGGGGGGAGGGCATTATTTTCTGATCAAACGTAGATCATATTCTACGCATTTGAAGCTCTGACCGTCAACCGTAGTATTCACCAATTTCACACTTCCCATAATGCCTAGTAAAGATCACAGATATGGATGGGATATGACGTAAGAAGGGGATATACGTAATGCGACCGTGCGAGTAGGAGAGTCTTCGGTAAAAGGTAGAACGATAGAAGGTACGTCATTTTCTCTAATTCCAACAAAAATGCAATTACGGCATGCGCTTTATACTAGACAAATAATTCAAAACAATATAGTTGACCAGTCTGTCGATAGAACTTGTTGGAAATATTACACCGAGGAAGGGGGAGGGGGTTGGCCATACGTCATATCCGTGATCTTTACTAGGCATTATGGGAAGTGTGAAATTGGTGAATGGCATCCCTGGAACAGGGAAAAACCGACCAATCCCGGAACGCCTGCAAAGCAAAGAAGTTCGCTCAGGGACATTTTTGGTGAACAAACTTATAATTACTAACAATATGAAGGTCTCTTGTTTTTTCCTACCACATTTCTAAATATGATGACGACTAGAACTAATGTTTACTTGGTGAGATCTGATTGGTCTGATTGAAAATGGTTGTATTGTTTGCTTTCAATTTTAGTATATATTCTGTATCTGTATCTGTATAGCCGGTATAACCGCCTTTCGGCGTAACACACCAGCTTCGCAGGCACGTGGCATATTACACCGATCGACTTGTTACACCTAACCCTTGAACTTCTAGCTCTAGACTTTGTTTAAAGCTATCTATTGACAATGCCCCTACTGTACTTGGTGACAGTGAGTTCCACTCTGCAATAGTTCTAGGAAAGAATGAATTCTTGAACACCTCAATCCTTGGTTGATAACTCTGGTACTTGAAGGCATGTCTATTTCTTGTTCTCTTCTGGGCTGGTATTAGGTACTCAGTAGTTGGGACATCCACCAGTTTATTAGTCATTTTGTACATCATGCATAGTCTGGACATCTTTCTTCATATTAGTGCATGACGTTGCGTTGGAGTTTCACTTAGTCTATTAGTTAAGGTTCTGCTCTTTGTAATACACGAATATACTCTTTGTAATATGATAATTATATCTCACCATCACTTATGAAGTGGTGTTGGCAGAATCACAATTGTAATGACTAGACAAATTTGAGTTCTAGTAAATTAGGGACACAATACATGTATTGACGTACACACTACACAAACAGTTTTATGACAAAACATGTGAAAGAAAGAAAAAAATATTTGTATCTTAAAGTTGTTTCACTCAATTATTGTCTATATTTTAATGTGTTATCGCTATTTTATACTTACGCCATTATCGGATATACTTCTTTTAACACTTATTCTTTTAACGATAAAATGTTACAATTGTAAAAGTGAATGTACATGTAATTTACAACACAATTCAGGCTGTTTCAGTCTGCAATGTTGTTTATTGGCGAATAAAGTTAAGGTTATAAAGTTAAAGTTAAGAAGACCATTCATATGGTATAAATGGCTTTATATCATACCCGGGCCGCGATAACGTTCGATAACGGGTTCCGGACCGGGCCGTACTTTACGGTACGGCCCGGTCCGGAACCCGTTATCGAATGCTTCCATGGCTTCCATAAAACGATTCGAACGCGTTTCGCCCTAACCGCGTGTGCCCCTTTCGAAAATTCGAATACAGAATCCGGACGTTGGAATTGATGTTGTTGCATTTTAGGGTTCAGTGGCACCAACTTTTGGCTCATCTTGCGTTGAAAGGCGTGTTTTCTTGGGTGGGTATGACATAAATAAAATACAACACGGTGTATTCCGCATCTGCGGCCGTCGGGCGATCGGACTCGCGGTCGGGCCGATACCTCGGGTGATACGGAATACCCCGTGTTGTATTATATATATATATCCTAAAACCACAGGTGCTGACGCCAGCGCAGGTATCGACTGTACGTTTGATGACGGAGTGTGTGGGTATGTGATGGACCACAACGCTGACTTCACATGGGACTGGTGGCGGTACGGCACACCTACCCTTAACACTGGGCCTACAGGCGATCATACCGCCTTTTCAGGTGAGGTGTCTCATTATTGTGAGCATATAGGCCATTATCATATAGCCAGGTGACGTTGACCAATCAGAAGGCTCCACTCCACATTCCTTATGATGCCGTATGTCACAAATAGAGTCAAATCAGGTCATTATTCATCCCAATCCATACATTAAACAATACAATAATCACCCGCATATGACCTCAGGTGACCCATATAGAACACCGCAATGTTCTAAAAAATCCAAAAATAACTTGAGTTGTGTTCCAATGACCTCGGGTGACTCCCATAAGAACACCTGTTCCCTGCCTTTGACCCAGATAGAACAGTAAGAACACGACCCTTCCCCAGTGACCTCAGGTGACTCCAGAGGGAACTATGTTCTATTTAAGTTTGTATGTGTTATACAGGAATGTGTAACTCTTTACTGTGTAAGTTTTGATAGGCTCTATGATAATAGCGTTAATGGCCTGCCCTTTCTCGGTGAATATGGTGTGATAAAGCCTTGTCAGCTGCTATAACCACCTCATAAAGCCACCTCGTTCGCTGCGCTCACTCAGTGGCTTTATTCGGTAGTTATAGCAGCTGACAAGGCTTTAACACGCCATATTCACCTCGGGGCGGGTCATTAACCCTCAATTTATGATGATGTCATCATCGTAACTTACTACAGCTAACGTATCCTGTGTAAAATGCTTCCGCCCCTGAGGCGTCGCCAAAAACAGCACTGAAACATGGCTAGCCCGCGTTACACATTGTCAACCTCTTGCTGTCAAGGGCTACATGTCAAGCTTAGGGGCAGGCTATAGCTAGTCGATGGGTGGGTCGCTTTAAGTGCAATTCAATCAGGGTAGACATATGGGTAACACATTGGAAAGTTGGTAGAAGGCATGTTAGTGTCCATAAATCCACAGAGCAGAGTGGAGAAAACTTGCTGCCCAATGTGCCATACACGGGAGGAACTATGTCTAAGTACCAAGTAAGTAATTACTAATAGCCATCCCTTCGTTCGTCAAACCTGAAGCTACAAGGCCTTTCAGCGCTCTTTTCTGCAAACGATCCCAGCCGATTAGCAGCAAATTCAGCACTAAGACACTCCTGACATTAAGAATGAAGACCTTTATTGCACATTTCTGCCACATCACAAGTACAGGTCACAACAAAACAAGATGAATGGACACGACTAACAGATACAAAATTAACTAACTATATCGTTATATAAATTCAAATTCTCCTCGCTTTTCAGTTATTGCAGAAATAAACGTACAGATCTGTTTTTCGATGGGTGGTTTGTCTAGTCGAAGGCTCAGTACATATACAATCCAGCTGTGAATTAAGGTCAGCTTATTTGTTTATTTTTTGTTTTCTGGAAACAGGTTTCTACATGTACACAGAAGCGTCCGGCCGGCAGCCCGGTGACATAGCCCGGATGATGAGTCCGCGAGTGGACACGACTGGACACGTCTGTGTCCGGTTTAACTACCACATGTTCGGCAGCGAGACGGGCACTCTGAACGTGCTGATAGACGACGGACTGACCGGGCTGAGGCAGGTCTGGCACGCCACCGGGGATCAGGGCAACGTCTGGAACGAAGCCAGGCTGGACGCGCACGGCACAAGTATACAGGTGGTTGGATTGTATCTGCATCAGTAAATGGTTTGTTATTGTCCAAACAGTACCCGTGCAGTCGCAGCCTTTAACGGCTGAATTGATGCAGGGTGTCGCATAATAATCAATACATATCACAACAAATAATACACATGACACATATATTTTCTCCACAATTTTTGTGGAACTGTCGCAAGGGTCTGTGTGGCTGCCATTCGGCGCCACAAGGTGACCTAAAAGCGACTTTTCCCAGCCGAAGTTAGGTACCCAATTCACACCTGGGTGGAGTGAGGAAAGTCGTGTAAAGTGCCTTTCCCAAGGGCACAACGTCGGGCGCATGTTCAAACATGTCCCGGGTACGACTCGGGATTGAACCTGGGTCTCCCGGTTGACAGTCGAATGATCTACTACTACGCCACTGAATATTGCTGACATATACATGTTTGTGTATAAGGTGGTGTTTGAGGGAGTCCGTGGTAGTGGGGAGCAGGGTGACATTGCAGTGGACGATATCAAGATGACTGACGGGACCTGTCCTACAGGTACGTTTCGTGTCCTTTCAATTTCAATCTGTTTGTTTGTTTGTTTGTTTGTTTGTTTCGCATAACCGGTAAACCACCTTGAGGCGTAACACACCAGCTGTGTACAATGTATACGCACATGTACAAGCTGCGTAAGACCGGACTGTAAGGTTTGAACCACTCACACCGGGAAGGTCTCCTACTCTTTTCGATAAGTGCGGTGGGTTCTTTAACTTGCATGGGGTGTGGCTGTCCCAAACACGGGACCTCCGTTTAACGTCCTATCCGAGAGATGTCCCTAATCGAAGCTAGGTACTCATTTACACCTGAGTGAAGTGAGGAAAGTCGTGTTCTAAATCTCTTACAATTAGTGCTGGAATCCCTTAAAAATATGATATGATATTTGTGTCTGGTTACGGATATGGTTTACCTGATCCTTGCAGCCAATAAAGATAGAGACAAAGATGGAAGAAATTTATACTAGCAGGTTATTTTTCATTCACTCACTCGGGTCCGATTGCTCTTCCATGGGGGTGTAGCGCCTCTGCATGAAGTTTTAATGGTTTCAACTATTACATTCACTAGAATGCATTTATTGCATTAAATTACCATAGATTGTCCTTTATATGACAGTGATAGACGCATGTTTTTGGACATGTTTTAAGTAAATCTCCCCACTTCGGATTCTTAACAAGTAAAGAAAAAATTATATTCCTGTTAACCTTTGAGAAACCAAATCTAACTACTCATACAGGCATCGTACATTTATACAATTACTAAGAAGCGAGAAGAAGTTGAAAAGACTAGAATACATTAAACATTTATATATGCATGTACATGTAATAGTTATATGTATATTTATATGAATATGTATTTGAATATGTATAATGTGACCTGTGCTTTGCCCAGTGGGGCAAAAATGTACAATAAAGGTCTTCTTCTTCTTCATTAAAACTGTACATTGCTTTTGTAGGCTGCTCTACTGTAAGCCTGTCTGGCTCCACCGCCATGCAAGTCGGGATGATGGGCACCTACACCCGCACGGGAACGTCTAACGGCCACCCTGCCTACACCAGTACCTCCACCAACCCGCAGTACTACCTACACTACATCGAGACGAACCGCGGCTGGTGTGTCGGGCCGGCGGTCGGGATCCCGTCCTGCGGGATCATCGTGGACGACACCAGCCTGTACCCCGAGGAGATCACCGCCACATTCCAGCTCACGGACGGGTCCAACTGGGTCCCCGTGCCGGAGGTTCACATAACATGCGGTAAGGGGCGGGGGTTAAGCCTTGGTCACAACCCGCCGTGCGTGCTTTTTGTCCGTACGTTTTTGGGAGGCCACGTTCGCTACGTTTTTTCTGAAAACGTGCGTTGTACAATGTACGCTCATAGGCTGTACATGGCACGCGCGTACGGGTGGTGAATCCGCAGACCGCACGCATGAAAAGTTTTAAGCGACGATCACAACCCGCCGTACGTGCTTCTGCGTGCTGTCTACGTGCAAAAACGTGGGCAAACGTAGGGCATCCGTGCGTGGTGAGTACCGCCTCCGTACGGAATCCTACGGATTTGGGAGCACGCAGACACGCCGTAGAACTTTAAGTGCATGTAAAACTTTTTCTACGTGCGGTCTGCGGATTCACCACCCGTACGTGCGAGTACGAGCGACGCGCGTGCCCCGTACGTGCCGTGCGGAAGAAGCACGTGTGAGTACGGTCTCCTTACGGTAAAGTTGCAATCGCACAGAGATCGTACGTTGAAAGCACTTACAACTCACTTACCACTTGCGCAACGTACGTTGCACGCAACCACTCACAGCCAGACTTGGCGTGCAGACCACACTCTTACACTTTGCGCAACCGTACGAGTGACGTGCGAGTGAGCGACAGAAAAAACGTAGCAGACGTAGCCTCCCAAAAACGTACGGACAAAAAGCACGTACGGCGGGTTGTGACCGTCGCTTAACATGCACTTAAAGTTCTACGGCGTGTCTGCGTGCTCCCAAATCCGTAGGATTCCGTGCGGAGGCGGTACTCACCACGCACGGATGCCCTACGTTTGCCCACGTTTTTGCACGTAGACAGCACGCAGAAGCACGTACGGCGAGTTGTGACCAGTGCTTTACGTATGTCTACAATGGCTGTGTTTTTTTTATTTATTATTATCATTCAGAAACACAGTGATGAATACGAATAAAAGGACATGGGCTAAGTGACTGCGAACTCAAGTTAGGTACAACTTATATTCTCGCGGCCACTTTTACAATGGATAAAAAAGGCGTTTACAAGACATTTGAAAAACTATGGATAGCATGAGTCAAACCTCCCATCCCAGAAGAGAAGGAAAGCATAGCAGGACATATACAACTAGAAGCGTTTTGTTTCTGTTATGTAGTTTTGCGTGACTAACATAATTTCACGGCTGTGGGGTTGGACAACGTGTTTGGACAAGGGGTTCAGTCACAGCTACAGTGTTTGGATTGTGACGATACACGTATTTAATTTCTATGTGGGTAAGTAAATGTAGGTGATGCAATCATGGAGATATACGTCATTCGTGGGCCTCCTAGCGGCTATCTATGTTTTTGCATGATTTAATGTGGTTTGAGAAAAAGGTGTGTCCGTGTGTTTATGTGTGCGTGCGTGCGTGTGCGTGTGCGTTTGCGTGTGTGTGCGCGTGTGTGTGTGTGAGTGTGCGTACGTGCGTGTGTGTATGTGCGTGTGTGTGTATGTATGTATGTATGTATGTATGTATGTATGTATGTATGTGTTTTGTCTTCGTGTGTGATTATTTGTGTTCACATGTTCTCAATTCTTATTCACTTCTAGGTTAAGAAATGATCGACTTGCCAGTGATCAGGAGGAAGACCAAGTGAACGTAGAATTTTTCCCTGTCAGGGAAACATAAAAAGTCCATTGGAATAAAGTGCAATGATTCAATTCAATCTCATTTGTGTCTTATATATATGTCTTACATATATTGTGTCATATCAAAGACTTGTGCTATCCCTTATTATTTGAATAATTATGATATAGATATGTTAGGTTTAATTCGACATTAGGTCTTATTCAACACATTTATTTTATTGTCGTTACTCTCTTTATGTAGTTTGCCATACATTGTACCATGTGCAATTGTCGTGCAATAAAGTTCTTCTATACGTGTCAGCTTACAAAGCCGTCAGACTGTGCTGGATAGTTACAGAACAAGGTTATCAAAACGTTTGGAAACTTTGGTAAACTTTCATTGATCATAACATAATATTTTATCAATTCTGCTGTTTATACACCGTTTAAAGCCCTTAAAATTTGTTATGATCATACATTTGTGAGGCAACCACCAGGGATGACGTTTTGAGATGGTTTTGTAAAAAGTGTGCTAAATTTGACGTATTTTGATAAGTTACGTTGCAGGTTACATCTCGAAATTGTCATGTCGTGAACTAATTGATACATATTTAGTGCTCTAAACTTTTGTATTGTGTGTATATGTGTGCTCATACGTACGTTACAAAGGGGCACTACGTACTCTCCAAGCAGAGGTTTGGGTTTTGGGGGTATTTTTATAAGTTAGCGTGTTTTTAGACTTTTTATCGATGTTTCTCTTTTGCACTGCATTTTTTTTCCACACCAAACCCAACCTCTACCAGCACTCACCCCGGGGCGGGGCAAACCTATTCAAGAAAGGTGACAGTGCTCCTCCCCAGGAACCATCAAATTATCATTAGGGATATCCATTTTACTGTCACGTGGTGGATTATCACACATCTAGCCAGTCAGAAAGGCATTCATTCGGCCACACGCCTCCTGCTGACTGTGCCTATCCATGCGTCTGGTTCACACCTCCTTGCAGAACGACTGAAATATGTTGAAGTGATTAGGTTTATAGCCGATTGAAGCTTTCAACTGCTGGCAGAGGTTGGGTTTGGTGGGAAAAACCAGTGCAAAAGAGAAACCCCGATAAAAAAAGCCTAAAAACACGCCAAAAATGACCCCAAACCCAAACCTCTGCTTGGAGAGTAGGCACTACGCACAACATGACACGTTGCAAGGTTAAGACAAATACCCAGTGCCGCCTGTAGTGAACCCGTGTGAACCAACAAGTGTTCCATAACCTGTAACGTATACAAGGTCACCGGAGTATTTGTTGAAGACCAGTGTAAAGATGACATAGCAGAACAGAGCTATCAATCAAGAATTGAGGTGTTCAAAAACTCGTGTGGAACTCGTTGTCACCAAGTGGCACCATCGCGAGAAAGATTTAAACAACTCCTGAAATTAAATGTGCAAAGATTGGGTGTGACAGGTCGTTCGGTATGATATAGCTAGCTGCCGCTGCGCCGCGTGTCTGCGAAGCTGGTGTGTTGCGCCGAAGGGCGCTATACAGATACAGAGGCTGGTGTGTTACGCCGAAGGATGGTTATACCGGCTATCGAAGCTGGAGTGTTACGTCGAAGGGCGGTTACAGCGGATATACAGATACAGAAGCTGGTGTGTTACGCCGAAGGGCGATTATACCGGCTATACAGATACAGAAGCTAGAGTGTTACGCCACAGGGCGGTTATACCGGCTATACAGATACAGAAGCTGGTGTGTTACGCCGAAGGGCGGTTATACCGGCTATACAAATACAGAAGCTGGCGTGTTACGCCGAAGGGCGGTTATACCGGCTATATCGATACAGATACATGTACAGAACAGGTACATCTGATTCAACACTGATGACAAGGTGGTCTTGTGGTTAGGACTGTTGAGTTCCCGTGTTTCAGTAGAACCTTGAGCAAGTTAGAGAATCCACCACACAAATCGAAAAAAGTAGGGGTCCTTCCCGGTATGAATGGAACAAACCTTTAAGTCCGGGCTTAGGCCACGCCGATTTAATTTTATGGATGACATCCGCGCGCGCATTGATTTTCGTTTGTTCTAAAATGGATCACCCCTCCGAGGCTCTGGCCTGGCTCTAGGCCTGGGTAGTCCATGGTTGTCAGCGACAATACGGAGCCGGTGGTAACTCTAAGAGGATTCCATCCAGGTTACCGAAGCTCCACGACCCGAGAACTCGATCAGTACACACGTACAGTGCCGATTGATAAATTCCGCAAAAAACAGCATGTGCCGGCTTGTCGTATACGTTGATATGTACTGCCGCAAATTCACAATAATTTGATATCCGATCTGAGCTTTGGTTAAGTAGCATTTTTATTTTTAGCCGGATTTTTTTTCACCCGCGCGCACTAGTTTGGGGGTCTTCAGACGATGTCATCCATAGAATGAAGTCGGTGTGGCCTTACGCGCGTTGTACGTAGTGTACAAAACGGGTGTGTTATAATATTACGCCTGAAGGTAGTTTACCGGCTATGAGAAACAAACAAATACAAAAATTTCCACAAGCCTTGGGTGGTACAATAAACATTGAGTTTAGTGAACCCTGACCTTCATGCACAAGTGATGCAATTATATTTGCACCGGATGAAGGGCCAGTTACTCAATATATATTTACGATTAGGAGATGTTGACTCTTTTACAGTTTAGTACGATGTTGTGTAAATACATTACAACGTGTAAATACATTACAACACAACACAATGCGTTTGTGGGCGACGAAGGGTATGGACGAGGGGGTAAAAACGTTAATACATTCTGAGTAGAAAAAGAAAAACTTGTACAAACGTATTTACAAAGTAATTAGCCCGGAATACATTTAGAACATGCCAATTGGGGTCGTGTGGCGTAACAACAGAGCGTTCGGCTCGGAACGTAACCAAGAGGTCCCGAGTTCGAATCCTGCCTTGCTACCGAACTTGTACCCTTGGGAAAGGCACATTACACGAATTTCCTAACTTTACTCAGGTAAAAATGAATCTGTTTGTTGTTCGGTCATTCGTTTTTTTCTGCGTTGGAGGCGACTTAAAATAAGTTGTAATTTTGAAACGTTGGAATCGAAAAAAAAAAAACATGCCCATAGTTACGATATACTAACACCATAGTCTCACGCGTTAGAATTCTGTTTCCTTTGGTGACCAGAAATATGGCACGAAAAAAACAACCGTATCCTCTCACGGCAATAGTGTAGCCTCCTTTGCAGACTTGTGAGGTGGCGGCGTTAATTTTTTTTCAGTGCAGGGAGCGACGCGAGTTTAGTACTGCCTGAGAGAGATTTGCCGCGGAGAGAGTTTTTTTTGCCACCCAACTCTCCCAAAAAAAGTTAACGCCGCTGCCTCACAAGTCTGCGAAGGAAGCTAACTACAGTATAGCCTCCTGTGCAGGCCTTCGGGTGGGTGGGAGTTTATACTTTGTTTTGTATAATTTTTAATGCGCGATTTGCCAATTTTGTAGCTCAAACAAAGTAGCAGATGAAGTCCACTTTGTCGTTGATTGTAGTTTATATAGTAATGACAGAAATGATATTTTAGACATATTACAAGTACGTTTCCATACTTTCAATACAGTTCAGTTGAGGTGAAACGGATTCTTTTAAATAGTTATTGCACTCCTATGTACTGCTCCCAGATATGGGCAGATTACAGTGTGGGCATGATATCTAGATTGCGAGTGGCGTACCACAGCGCCTTGAAGCTGTTACTCTCTGTAAGCAGAAGCACTAGCAACAGCCAGTTATTTGCCAACCTCGGAATCGACACTTTTGACGCTAGACGAAGGAAACAATTGTATTCTTTTGTCACTCGGCTACTTCATAGTGACAATACGATCATCTCTACGCTAGTTCTTTCTGACGGCTACTACCTCAGCTCATTCTGGAGGCATTACATTAACCTAGTTTTTAAGTAGTTTCTTTAGGTTCAGCTAGATTATCGTGGTATTATTTATTGTGTTTGTTACAACGCCTCCATTTATTTTTGTCTGTCTGTTCGCAATGTGATATGGGCCAGGGGCCTGAATTAAAGAATAAATAAAAAAAAATAAATAAAATACCTGACTAATATTGAAAAAATTATCTTTCTTATGAGCTCTGATAATCCTGTATTAAACAAACCCATTTCAAATTATATTTTTAACATCACAAAGAAACGAGAAGAATCCGAACCTCTGTATTAGTGTAGTTTTACAACTGTTTGTACTACAAACATGTATATTACCTTTTCATCACCTGTACTCTGCCCGTTAGGGCATGAATGTACCCTAAAGGTTATTATTATAATTTAATCGCGGGCTATCCTACATATATACAACCAACCGACGCCCAGCGAAGTTTTGTACCCTGCGGCGCATCCTACGCTAATTTCCGTCTCGTAAACGGTCGTCGCTTTTTCAAACGGTCGATGTCATATCGCATAATGGCCAACTTTAAGTGTATCAGCACGGTCAATCCATACTGTGATGTTTGTGGCGTAGAGGTTAGGGTTTTAGAGCTACACTTTTGGACCCGAGTTCGAATCCGAGTTTGTGCTTTTTTTTTGCTTATTTACAATTCTACATGACCCTCCCTTGCATTTGCAATTAGAATACTGCTTTTTTATGGTATATTTTACTTTTTATTCGTTTTTGGACCGCACAAAAGTTATGGTACGCTCGGATATGGCATCGACCATTCAGCGAAATGGCATCGACCGTTTCAAATGGCATCGACCGTTTACGAGACGGAAAATTGCACCTCCTACACAGGAGGCTAGGTCCTTGAACGATAGAACAAATCGTCAGGGTCGCCACGCACACAGGTGTACCGCGCGTCATTTCACACCAAAGTAAACACTTTATCCGTGACCTCGTGCCCAGCTACGCATCCCATCTTGTTTAAAAATGACGTTTACGTACGCACGAGTTTCCTCTGTCAAACATTGTCTTTACCGGTTTGTGTTTGTTCTGTACCGATATAGACGAGCTAACCGAGCACATATCAGGCCCGTGCCTGGTGTTGAGAAGCGCCTTTTTGTGCGTGTTCTAGTTTGGAGACGCACGTCTTGCCAGAGCTAGGATTTGTTCCTGTCAATGCAACAAGTAGCGATGGCTCCGTTGTGGCTGATGGTACTCGCTGTCGGCGGGGCACTAGCAGCGTCCAAACAAGGTAAATACCATTAACATTACATCATTATATTCATTCCCTGGGTTACATGTACCCATAACTTTGTGTGTTTAAGAGATCTCTAGTTCAATGCCCCCAGGCAGTTATACTACGTACAGTTAGATTTCTAGGAATGCAGTATACTAGGGGATGCCGCATTTGAGACCTCTTTAGAGGTACCATTTTTGGGTGCGATGGATATATGTGAACTGGTTGAATTATGTTTGGCGGAATTATATATGTTTTTACACGTTTGGTCACATTTAAATATTCACCATATGGCATATAGTTATCGGTCAGTACTTAAAATTATATGTCTTAGAAAAAGAATGATGTTCTCGATAAAATAGTATATATGTGTAAATTTGGCTAGTAACATTTCTGTGTGATCGTTTCAGAAAACGGCACTTCTGCATTACCGGTTATAAAACGCCATATGCATACATGTATGCGGACGTGTGAAATAACATGTGGTACGAGCTAATTCTGACAGTATAAGCCTAGGGTTAGACATAGTTGCGCAACAACTATATCATTTGTGTGGGGTCGTGTGGCGTAGCGGCAGAGTGCTCGACTCAGAACCAAGAGGTCCCAGGTTCGAGTCCTTACATGCTACCGATCTTCTGCCCTTGGGAAAGGCACTTTACACAACTTTCCCCACTTCGCTCAGGTGAAAATGAGTATTGTTCTGTCCCCTAAGCTGGTGACGGCATTGATATTAGTTGAAAAAAATTGAGTGTGCCGTCACCACGTCTTGTGATTAGATGTTGGAATATAAAAAAAGAACTATATCATTTGGCGTATTACTAAATAACTAATACAGGTACTGCATTGTGCTATATTCATTCGATATTCGATGGTCGTCGTACGATTTTGATGTTGTAGAATTTTCTAGCAGGCTGTACAGAACAACGTCGACAAGAATCTAGAACAGTCTTTTCCGTGCACACAACAACAAAATCACGACAATCTTACGACGATCGTAAAACTATTGTGACTGGGATATAAAGAGTCTGATGGTTTGTTTGTTGTATTTTTCCAGAGAAACCTGTTCAACATGAGAGGGCTGAGCGACAAGCGGCCCGTAAGATCTCACTTTTCTTGGTTTGCTACATAATGGTTTATTTGTAATGAGGAGAGTCATGATCAGCTACACTGAATTACACCTTACACCTTTCCAAGGCACATACAGTTTACAGATAATATACTGATCCAGTATAAGATCTTAGCAATCAGGCTAAATAATTGATCTTAGATATTGCAATATTAATTTCGGGATTTCTGTGTTTCTTGGTTGTATTGGGGTTTGATAGTTTTACTGCGGCTCTCATATCATGTTTGGCCAAAAAACACTTCTTGTATCAAATATATGCTATATCTGGAATATAAAACTATGTATTGTCTCGAACAACGGTCACATAAAAAAAAAGATGAAGAAGGTATAAAGCAGGATTGCTTATCTCCAAGCAGATCGTTCCCCAAGATCTCATAGTCTAGCCGCCGAAGATAGTCTAACTGCCGACACTCGTTAAGTACAAATGTGGCTCAGAGCTATCAAGAAGTGGGGCCAGTCAGAAACCGTTACGACTTTGCCCCGATGATTCGCTTGGAGATTAGCAAAATTGTGCATTTAATTAACCTTCATCCTGCCTTCTGAAACCATATTTGTATAGCTGGGTGATATGACAGACGTATGACTATGCAAAAAATGGCGGTGAATGTTTATTTTGAAAGCTTGAGGTTAAAGGGTTGGTAGCAGGGAGAAGGGATAGCCTCCTTCGCAGACTTTTGATGCGCGGTGGCGTTAATTTTTTCTTCGGTAATAGCACGGTCACATTTCCAAGCCGGGGCCCGGCCGGGTTGTTTGCGTGAACAAAAATTAAACAATTTGTATTATTAAGAGTATACACAAATATTGCTCATGGTTAATTTTTTTAAAACTTTTTTTTTGTGTGTGTTTTGCTGTCTCAGATCATAATTTGCGTTCCATACGACTGCCCGGCCGGGCCCCGGGTTGGGAAATGTGACCTCGCCTTGAGCGACGCGAGTTATGCCGCCGAGCGACGGTTTTGCCGCCGAGCGATTTTGCCAGATTTACATCAAGATGCGCGGAAACCGTCTCTCCCCGGCAAAATCCCTTTGGTGGCATAACTCGCGTCACTCGAGGATAAAACAAAATTAACGCCGCCGCATCAGAAGTCTGCGAAGGAGGCTAGGGAAGGTTACGCCCTTGTTGACTTATACTGGATGACTATACAGCTATCGCCTGCAGTGGATCGTTTACGAACCAGACCTACGGCACGATCGAGAGTCCGTACTACCCCAACGACTACTACAACGGCGCCAACTGCCTGTGGTACATCACCGTGTCGAAAGGGGCCATCGTGCAGCTGGTGCTGCAGGATTACGTCATCGAGGACGGCTGGGACTTCCTCTTCATCTACGATGGAGGCAGTCTGGCGTCACCTGTGATCGCCACGTACGTCATGTTAACACCTTTAGACGTCAATCAATCAATCATTCAATGAACCAGCTAACCAACCAACCAACCAACCAACCAACCAAACGATCGATCGATCGATCAACGGACCAATCAATCGATCGACCATTCGATCAACCAACCAACCAACCAACTAACCAATCAATCTATCGACTAATCAATTAACCAACCAACCAACCAACCAACCAACCAACCAATCGATCGACTAATCGATCAACCAACCAACCAATTGATCGACTAATCGATCAACCAACCAACCAATTGATCAACCAACCAATCAATCGATCGACTAATCGATCAACCAACCAACCAACCACGCGATCAATCAACCAATCAATCGATCGACCAATCAACCAACCAATCAATCGGTCAATCGACCAATCAACCAACCAACCAACCAACCAACCAACCAACCAACCAACCAACCAACCAACCAACCAACCAACCAATCAATCAATCGGTAGATCAACCCACCAATCAATCGGTCGATCGACCAATCAACCAATCAATCGGTCGACCAATCGATCAACCAACCAATCGATCGATCTATCATGCTTAGGAGCTCTACATAACTTAATGTTATTTATATATGATTGGTATAATAATATATATATATGTGAAACAACATGAGGTTCACGGGGAGGGGATATCCCTATATGACACATACTATTCTGTAGTGTCCTTTAGTCCTTCCAACATCCCTACCCCTGTAGCGATATAGATTAATCAATTTGAAGATTTCCGCGTGTCACAGAGTATGATCCTTCTAATCTCTGCAGTATAACTGGAACAGGACCCCCGACAATCTACAACAGTACTTCAAATGTAGTTCTTCTGAAATTCAAGACAGATGGCAGCATTACAGAGAGAGGTTTCCATTTGGACTTCTACGGTAAGTTAGCAACATTACACCTTCTTTTTACAAAGCTATATGTACGCTTATTCTAGGTAATGAAGAATGAATTATGGTAAACAAGGCCTGTTTCTTTTCTATATTTCTAGTTTTCAAGACCGATTTGTAACTCATGATCTCCGTTTTGGATTTAGTTGTACCTGAAGTTTAATCTTTATTTCTATTATAATGTTGTGATTCTCATCACTTCCCTTGTACTTTGCATGGTCCTTTTTCTTCGTTACACCCAGAGAGGTTCTACCAAGGAGCACCACGTAAGTTTGCCCTCTAACAGAGGATTTAATTCTATTGGACAGAAAAGTTCAGCTTTAGCTTACAGTTTAACACAAAGGTAAACAAACGACGAAGTCAATAAGTGCAAATATACTCCTATACTATATATAAATATGTCCGGTTCCGATGTTAAATGGTGGCCTAATTGATGGGACACTTCTTGTGTCATATATTAACGCTATGTTGCGCCAGATTATGAATATAGTATGTGAGAAAGTAACAGATGTTCTATAATAAATATCTATAATGGAAGATAAGCTTTAGTTAGATTTATTTGATATTGGATATAGCGGTGTATGTTGACTCTCTTCGACCAGAGAAACTAATCCAAAGAATGGCTATCACTTCTTTACATATAAATTTTACCAACATCTTCAATAAATGAAAAGCAACATCAATGACATTTTTAAATTTCTTCCACAGCAACTCTACCCCCCGATGACGGCCCCGATGGTAAGTTTATCTGCGTGTAACAGAAGTTCTCAAAAGTATCTCTGAATTGTATAATACTATGTCGTATAAAATCAACTTCTACGCTACTTCTACACTTTTTGTACTGAAGGCATATCTTATGAACTGCATTACATCTAACAACTTGTTGCTTGGATTAAGTCAAAAGCAAAGAAACAAGACTCTTCTGTTTTGTGACCTGTATTCGGCCTAATGGAACAAATGTGTACAACAAAGGTTTTTTTATCATGAAAGTTCATCTGTGTTGGAAGTTACATGTTTAAAGTTAAAACTTTTGATCCCACACAAAAATTCTCTCACCTAGAGCTTTCGACCAGTCACTCTGGTCTTCCTCAGTAGACTGACCCAGTGAAGCTTGTGACGTGGCTTCTTTGAAGTGTGACGTCAACACTGGGTCAAAGGTATCTGGTAGACAATGTCGACCCCCGTCGCGGTTCAATGTAGGGTGATGGGCCCTGATGTATATGGCTTCCTTCACCCCTCTCAAGAAATAGTCTTGTTCAGTGTCTAGAATCCTTACAGTGTCAAGTGAAACAAAGGTTTTTATCTATTTTTCATTGACATTGTCCCATTGTTCTGACAGATTGTCCCAGCACTAGGATCTACAGTTCGGAGGGTTACCTCAGCTCCCCGGGCTACGCTGCCGGTTATCAGAACTACACTAACGACCTGCACTGCGTCTGGGAGATCATCAACCCCTTTGGCACCAGCTTCAACATCTGGTTCATCGCGTTCGACCTGGAGTGTGATGCTGACTTCCTGAATATCTACGACGAAGGCGTATTCCACACGTAAGAAGGACAATATTTTAACTAGCCGCGGCGACTGTTGCAGGGCTTCTGTTGCTTGCAGTCTTTTACATTAGCCCTAGCAACCCATGTATTCATAAGCCGAGTGGTCGCCATCTTGGTCAGCAGCGCGCCGAATCAGCTACTTGCAAATGTGCCACTACTTTTCTGATCTATAGAAATAGCTTATCAGGAAAGTAGCGGCGAATTTGCAGGTAGATGATTCCAATCAAAAATGGCGGCCAACTGTTTTGTTTCACATGGGGAGAGATCGCAAATAGTAGCGGTAGGGGAGGGAGCAGGGGATCATATGTCCATTGGATCCTGTACAAAACAAGGAACAAAAACAGGCTTCAAAGTACACTTACCAGAATTGCAAGGTCCCAAAAATTCCATCCACTGGACAGCTAAACATGTCTAGTTGCCGTTTTTGGAAAAAGCCCGGCTTCGACTCCTGCCTGTTAAAGCGCTAGAGCCCTTTAAATGTAAACAACCACTGACCTTTGAACCTGCAGCATAGAAACACACGACTTGTGCTGGAAAACCCCCTCCCAAAAAAATTCTCAAAAATAATAACACTAAAAATATCGTGGACATGCAAACTGGCCCTTCCCCGCATGCGCCAAAACTGGCCCCCCTCCGGTACGACTCACGCAGGGGCCGGTTGACGCGCAAAACACACCGGCACGTTAGGTAAGGCTGTTAGGAATCTAGGGAAATGCAAACTTCGGTCTCAAAGTGTTCCGGCACGGTGGATCGCATGTTTGTTCATATGGCCCAATGCACCGCTCCGCGGCTGTTGTTAGGGCTAATGTAAAAGACTGCAAGCAAGAGAAGCCCTGCAACAGTCGCCGCGGCTATATTTTAACATACCATTGCCGAGTTACAAACACCTATAGTTCACCATAGAGTCACTAGGGGAATCTGATTACGATGACAAAACCTAACCACAGGTTAAAAGAGCTAAATATTGACATAGGAGATACAAACACCTGTAGTTCCATAAAAAGTCGCCAGGAGTGCCAAATCTGCTTGCAACTTCATGTGGTCAAGTCCTAACAACAGTCTGGACATCAGTGTTTCTCAAAAGATTCTTGAGTGTTTGTGTCTCAATGAAACCCTCAAGTGCTATCGATATTCTAACTTTCTAGGTTTCCCAAATGATGATGATTTATACGTGGATATTTGCTACAGGTACTCCTGCACTATGGACGATAGGTTTGCGTGTAACATCACAACAACTGGACCTACGATGACCATCGAGTTCACTTCGGATGCCGACACCACCGCCAAGGGCTGGTTCCTCGGATACGAAAGCAAGTGTTAACTATTGCAATTGACTCTTTATCTCTTTCAAACCAATGAAAATTGATATATCAGTGTAAGGGTCAACTACGACGACTACTGTAATTCACTTTATGTTCACGGTAGCAAAATTTCACGGTCTGAGAAAAATGGACATGTTCACGGAACTATATGTTCACGGTGGTGACAGGTGTAGGAAAAAGAAAGTCCAGGAATTATTTGTTAACTGTAATGATAAGTTCACTGTACAGAAGCAACAGTGAAAACAGTGAACTTATCAGTACAGTGAACAAATCAGGAATTACAGTATCTTACTGTCCTTGGAGTCGTTTGGTTCATTTCTGTAGGTAAAGATTCTAGGGCGCCATTGCTACGCCATTTTCCCCAGTTGCTCAAAAGATAGAAAGACAGGAAGACATCATGGTGTCATCTTATCTTCCAGGTTCGAAGTACACCAACCTGCAGGAGACTGCACCACAGCATACCGGCGACGACCCGTGGCCTGGGAGGGCTTGTCAAATCGAACCACCACGTCAGTACTGCTTAATGTCCTACCTTGTATAATGCCCGGTTTACACGGCGACAAAATCCGTGCGTACGAAAATGGCGTACGAAAGTTTCGTACGAAAATTGCGTACGCAAAGGTTTTCCCTCCGTGTAAACAGGTCCTAAATTTTCGGTCTTCATCCTTGGAAGGATGTGACCATGAGTAAAGAGATTCGTTTTACACAACCAAGTCTTTTATTCAGCCAACGTTTCGGTGATCGTCTGTCACCTTTTTTTTCATGGCAATTCTGACTGGTTAACATTGCATTGCAGCATAGGTGTCGCTGCTACAGATGAATTCCCAAATGTACAGTATTTACATCTGTAGCAGCGACACCTGTGCTGCAATGCAATGTGAACCAGTCAGAATTGCCCTGATTAAGGTGACAGACGGTCACTGAAACGTCGGCTGAATAAAAGACTTGGTTGTGTAAAACGAGTCTCTTTACTCAGTGTCTTACCAACCTGATGAAACTATTCACGGAGGATGTGACCATAATTCCTGTATAATTGTGGTGGTGGTGGTGGGAGGTGGTGGTTATGGGGGTATGAAGATGTACATCGATGTGGATACACAAAACAAAATATTGAAATGTAAAACTTTCATATAGTGGTGATGAATCCTAAACTTTAAGGACGAAGGGATGAAAATCATCCTTATAGACACGTCGATGAAGGTTAGACATTCAGGTAAACTGAGATATTCAAGCAACTGGTTAGATTTTGAAAACTGTCAGACGTTTCAACTATTATCAGCGACTTTTCGTCATTGACTGTGGTGAATTCTACTTGAAACGTCCGCTACTTTTCAAAATCTAATAGAATCCAGTTGCTTGAGTATCTCAGTTTACCTGGATGTCTAACCTTCATCGGCGTATCTACATGAATACGGATGTTTTTCATCCCTTCGTATAGGATTCATCACCATTATATGAAAGTTTTACATTTACTGAAACTGTCACAATTTTGTTAGTTGTTGAGATTCCAGTTTGATGTCATATTTTGTCACAGCGGAACCTGACTGCTACACCGGAACTGGCGCTGACTACCGCGGCAGAGTGAACGTGACGGAGAACGGGTACACCTGCCAGCGGTGGGACTCACAGACGCCGCACTTCCACGTCTACAGCCCGGACAGGTTCCCGCAGTACGGGCTGGAGGAGAACTACTGCCGCAACCCCGGCAACGGCTACAAGCCCTGGTGCTACACAACGTCCCCTAGCGTCAGGATCGAGTACTGCGACGTCAGGGAATGCTGTAAGACCTTGACCTTGTCTTTGGTATCGATCTTTATGTAATAAAGGGTTAATGACCCGCTCCGAGGTGTATATGGTGAGATAAACCACCTCGTTCGCTACGCTCATTCGGTGGTTTATTCGGTGGTTATCGCACCTGACAAGGAATTATCTTACCATATACCGAGGATAAGGCGGGGCATTAACGTTATTATCATGTAGCCTTTCCAACTGACACAATTTTTTGACACGAATTCGGGTTACAGTCATTTTTCTGTTTCAAAATTTGACACAAATTCGGGTTACAGCCATTTTTCTGTTTCAATTTCATTCAGAATCTTTTTAATGACGTCTCCCCGTTATATGAATCAGAAATGTATAGAATAGTCACATCTGATGTTATAATTTGTGATGAGTTTGATTAAACTTAAAGATATCGTGAATTGTTTCACCAGCCGAGTTAACGACACCTGCACCCGTGTTCGAGGCGCCCCCTGCGTGGAATGACACTGCAGGCAACTTCACAGGTAACATTGCCCTTATAGCCGTGAAATAATATATAGTGCCGTGGCTCGATTTGCTCTTAATGTGAGCATGATCTTGAAATATCAATGTAGTCGCAACGTGGATAGAATTTTATCACTATGCTTCAATAGTTAAAAACCCCTTGTATTTCCGCAAATGTAATCACTGGAGGACAAAGTTGAACCTCATGAACAGACCAGCACCACTGACATGTTACTGACGCGCACCGGCAATTTGGTGATGTCTTACACGAAACATGTGCCTGTTTCTTTTTGTATCCTCAGAGTGCGGAGGACAGCTGTACCTGGATGCCGGGTCCATCGCCAGTCCGGGTTACCCCATCACTGGCTACCCGAAGAACGCCGTGTGTGTGTGGACCATCATTGACCCTCACGACTGGGGCTTCAGGATGATATTTGAGGACGCCAGCATGGAGTGCGGCTATGACTACGTCACCATCTACGATGGAGGCCTCGACGGTCCCCAAATTGGGAGGTAAGCAAGGCCCACACGGCTGCATTCATGTTTACGGAGACACTTTCTCTGCAAAGTCAATATTCATTTATGGCTTCACCACACCACGCAGTGTTGTGGTGCGTTGTGTTCTCTCATGTTTCTTCCTCTCCTTCTCCTGACATTTCTTTAAATGGATTCAACTCTGCTATTTCAGCCAAATGAACTGAAATTTTGCATGAAGGTAGAGTGGGTAAATATCCCCAGACGTTTTTGTTTTGTTCATTTTTTGACACAAGCTTTCAAAATTGTTTTATATGTGTTTTTTTTTGTCATTTTCCGACAAAATCTGTACATTTGGGGTCCTGGAGACCTAGTATTACATTGCTTTATATATCTACCAACAACAATTCATTATAATGTAAGGCATTACAATTTTCCCTCAAACTTGTATAATTTGGGACTTTTGGACTGTGAACCAGTAGTACTGTACGATGTGTGCATGTTGTAGTCAAGAAACGAAGCGTGATTGCGATCGTACCGTAACGAGCTTGGGGCAAGAGGGGGGTGGGGGTGGAAGTGGTCAAAAAGTTGCGATCATGAAATTTTAGCGGTGGAATATGGACCGCTAAAACCGCTATAATTAAGTGACCGTTATCAAATCAAGAATTACAGTAATTCATAAGTCAATGTTTTCAGGTACTGTGATAGGGAGACCTGTGCGCTCGAATCCACTCAATCAACAGTCACTGTCGTCTTCACTTCGGACAGCTCCATTACAGGGAGAGGTTGGAAGATAGGGTTTGGAAGTACGTATTTTCAATGCCGTCACTATTTGCGAAGGTAACTTAACAGTTAAACAGCAGTGTCGTGTATCTTAAAATATCAGTCAGACGTATATCAATGAATGGATAGTAACTTAGTCTAAGTATGAAGTTTAAATACATTTCCCCATGTTTTCAAACCAAGAAAATTTTCAGCCGTCTCTGTTGCCTTCTTCAAGATGGATGACCACAACTTTGGATACTAACGGACACATGACTGAGGTTGCGGGTTGGCCTTCCCGATATGTGATGGACCCTAATATATGTGGTCTATTTCACTCCCATTATAACTTTCACACAGTTCAAGTTCAATATTTTTCCCTAGGTATGTACATCGGAACGATCTACCCCGCGTTCCCGATCCTGAACTATCAGCCATGCACCAGCGTCATAGACTTCGCGCTGACAAGTCCTGCGCCAGGCACGCCGTCGGGTACTGTTGGTAAGTTTCCCGGCGTTTATGCAAATTTTGATAAGTGGATCTAGATACTGTAAAGTGATGTAAGGTCGTGGTAGGACGATGGGGGTGGTTGAAACAAATGCAGTTTGCAAAAAGACAGAGTTGCGATGAGTTCGTCGCGAAAACCGCGTACATAAAATCATCGCGGGTATCTTTTGAGTTATTACAGTATTATTGATTTTTAATTAGGTAATCAGTTGTGTACTAGTAAAGTATTTGGAAATCCTTATGCAGAAAGGGCTAGACTGTATAGAGGTACTTAGCCTTTTCTTCATAATGTATTATCCCAACACAGATATACTTTCATGCTAAGTTTGGAAACCTTGTTCTTAGTTCCTTACGTCGACGTCCTGTTGGTGGACGGTAACGGGTACAACACCGGTCTCGTGGAGGTCTTCTACAACGGCCAATGGGGGTCGATCTGCGACGACGGCTTCGACATGGCGGACGCTGACGTCATCTGTCGGCAGCTCGGCTTCACCGGTGCCGAGGCTTTCTACGAGGAGGCGTACTTCAACGAGGGACACGGACCGATCTGGTTGGACGAACTCGCCTGCAACGGAGACGAGTCTAACCTGGCTGAATGCGCTCACCAAGGATGGGGCATCCACAACTGTCAACACAAGGAAGACGTGGGACTGGAATGTACAGGTGAAGGCCAACGTTGAGAAACAATTTTGCAACCGTTTCGCAATATTAATGGCCGATCGAGCTCGCGATCGAGTACGGGTTTCCATTGATATTGCCAATTGTCTTTGCAAGACTACGTCTCATACGTTATTGGTCAAGGCTCTTGCAAGACAGGCTGAGAAGTTCCATATCTTTACCTGTGGTGAAATTTTATATGTATGTAAGTCTTGGAAAGACAAGACCAATTCGGGACTTCTAGCAGCTTTTGTTGGGACTGCAGTGGATCGTCCAGTTTTTGTATATTTTGTTCTGGACATGCTGCGGTCTTCTTTTCATTGCTGTTTCTAACGTAGGAATTCTTCTTTTGTTTCAAGACTTTCAGATTCGTCTTGCGGACGGAGATTTCGACCACGGCCGACTGGAGGTGTACCACGCGGGCCAGTGGGGTACCGTGTGCGACGACAACTTCGGGCTGGTGGAGGCTAACGTAGCGTGCCGACAGCTCGGGTTCACCGGCGCCCTGGCCTCCCAGCCCACCGCGCACTACGGACAAGGCACCGGTCCGATCTGGATGGACGACGTGAAGTGTGTCGGGAACGAGACGTCTCTTCACCAGTGCGACATCAGGGAGTGGGGTAGCCACAACTGTGACCACAGCGAGGACATCGGCATCATCTGCGGTGCGTAGAGAAAGAAACATGACCTTGAGTCTGACATGAGTCCAACTATGTTAGCTTTTTCCCGCTCCCTGTCGTTGGTATGGGGTAGCGACGTTGGCAGAGGACCAAATCTACCAAGGCTAGAGTCCAGGCTACTAAAATGCTACTGACTAAAAATCACTGATTCGGTGATTGAGTACATTATCCATCTTGGCACCAAACCCTTATTCAAGATTGTCCTAAACTTAATTCTCCTGCAATAAAATAGAATAGAGTAGAGTAGAGTTGGATGCTAAGTGATATTGCATGTTACCATTCACTACGTCCGTCAGAAACATGACTAACCTATGGTATGTGCCATATTCGTAGATGCGCCAATGACTACAACTGAAATGGTCACAACGACGCCGCCACCCACCACCTTGTTCCCTCCCAACGGCATCATCACATTTTCAAGTAAGTAGACAGCATACAGCAGCTTATTTTCGTTTAATCTTGTTAGGACAAAGCCACAGGAAAGTTTGTTAGAAACTTATCACTTAGAAGGTTCAAGAGAGTTTTCAGAATCTATGACAGAGAAAAGTTTAAGATGACCATTTTGAACACCAGAACACATTCGTATACGTTTTTGGTAGTCCAGTGTTGACAGAGCTTTGCCGACACACTTTATAGTAATAACAAGGTAACAATGGTACATCTAACATCCACGTCTTCTTTTCAGGTTTCAGCGTGAGGCTGGTCCACGGAGGCCCGAACTACGGGAGGATCGAGGTTTTCGTGAACGGGACGTGGGGAAGCGTCTGTGACGACTTCTTTGGGCCGAACGAGGCCAGGGTGGTCTGCCAGGAGCTCGGCTTCGTCGACTTCATCAGCTGGTCAGGAGGGGCGCACTACGGCCAGGGCACCGGGCCGATCTGGATGGACGACGTGTCCTGTACCGGCAAAGAGCCGTCTCTCCAGTTCTGTCAGCACCGAGGCTGGGGGGTGGAGAACTGCGGCCATCATGAGGACGTTGGCGTCGAGTGCCAGGGTAAGGTCTAAGGAGTGTGCTAGTCTTTTGTGTGTAAAGTATTAAACTGTTGCACACGATTAAAACTTTTAGAGTAGATTTAAAATGGCATCCGATATCTTTCCTTAGCTCTGAAAAGGTCATTATGTTACCTGGGTCACACAGGCTCCCTAAATGGACGGAAGTGTTGGAAACTGCGGGCGCTGGCGGTCTTCTAGTCTCTGAAATCATTTTACAGTTTTGCTGTTCGTTAAGAAAACACTGGTACGTATCAATGGACATATGGTCCACTTGATGTATGGAAGACTAAAGAACATGTTGCTTTTTTTGTTGCAGGGCCTGACCGAACCTTGATCGCCTGTGACTTTGACGTAAACACGTGTAACTTCACCAGCGACACCAGTGCAGACTTCCTGTGGAGGCGCAGGACGGGGAGAACGCCTTCCTCTGAGACAGGCCCCAGCTTTGACCACACTTCAGGAAACGGTCGGTAGCTGTTTCAACGTTTCGTTCAGTTTTGTTTGGCGTGCTTAAATTAAGTTGGCTTACATGTAGATTGGCTCCTAAAACAGTGTGTACGCACTCTACGTCTGAAATAGCTTAATCCTCTTTTACACATGTTAACACAGATAAAATCTATAATACTTATCTTTAATGCTGACTTATTGCTTCAAATGCTTCGCCGGCAAAATCCAAACATGACAACATGCTCAAGATGTCATATTTGGCTCATATTTATAATTTTATTTGCATCGCTGTAAGATATAGCACTAAATCTTTCAATGATAAATCCCGTTGACTAACGCCGACAGGGTACTACATGTACATCGAGGCGTCTTCGCCACGTCAGAGAGGAGACATTGCTCGCCTTTGGAGCCCGGTCTTCGATGCGTACGGGACGCACTGTCTGCAGTTCGCCTACCACGTGTACGGGGACAGCATCGGAGCACTGCGCGTCCTGGTCGGGAATGATCTCGTCTTCATGAGGAATACGTCACAAGGAAACATGTGGCATGACACCAAAATCGACGTGACCATGAACCAAGACCAGGTGTGGAGAACAAGTCGTTGATTACTCTCAAAAAATGCAGTATCGATGGGATCATGTGACGGTAGAGTGTTCGTCTTGGAACAGAGAGGTCCAGGGTTCGAACCCTGGCATGCCACCGGTCTTTTGCCCTTGGGAAAGGCACTTTACACGACTTTCCTCACGTATTGTATTGCCCTCCCTGTTGGTAGCAGCGTAAAAATAAGTTTTAAAAAGCCGTCGCCACGTCTTGTGATTACATGTTGGAATAAAAAAAATGCATGCAGTTAATTCGTTGTGGTTTTCGATATGTGTTTGCATGCTCTTTCTTTGCCCTTTGTTAAAAATTCTGACAAGCTGTTTGATTTTTTTCTAGATCATTTTTGAAGGGGAGGTCGGCATCGGGTGGAGAGGAGACGTCGCCATTGATGACGTGCTCCTGTACAGTGGATCATGCCAGTCAAAT